CTCTCACTCACAACTACATCCTCGCGCAAAATCACTCCCGCCCGCTTCATATTGAAGATGTTGATGACAACCCTCCAACTTTCCCTGTATGTTTTAAATATTGACTCTTCATACATGCTGTTCTTGTACCTCTGGGTATATTATACTTTAGACTGTACATAGTGTATATTACATACCGCTTTCATCTGCTGATACTGTTGGTTATATAATATCAGACCTTCATTCAGGGGATATAATTTGTGAAAAGAGTGTGGAGAGGCTATATAGACCCCTCTCTGTAATATTTATCGTGTTGGTGTATGTGGGTTTACTGTTGACTGTTTTTCTGAATGCTTACAATGGACATTTTGAATGTGGACGCTACATAAATCGTTTGTGTTTCGTGTATTTGGGGGGTTTTTGTCTAACAGACGGGGCCTTCGATGATCATCGTCATTCCTAAACTAGTCTATACCATTTTTTTGAGCTGTAAAACAGAAATCCTTTGAAATGAGTTGGGAGCTTCTTTCTTTTTCCTGTTATGTGTGTCCACTGCCAAAAAAAAGTTTCCAGAGCGGTTAGTCTCTCCCCCCGTTATCCTTGGGTCTGCCACCATCTCCCTTCCTACACCGCTCCTCGCGAGGCTGCTGTGCCAGTCCGGTGAGTCCGCCCTAAATTATAAGCGAGGGGAGGGGGCCCCTGGTGTAGAGCTGTGCGTAGGCTATTTGAGAGCGAAACTCACGTAACTCCTCCTCATAACCTATTTACTGTACCGCCCAGTTGTGGGTAGGATATTCTTGGTCTGGAACTTTCACGTTTTTTTCTGTAGGACAAAAACCAGTAACAATTATGAAAAGGATAGAGCGTCAACTGGAATAACCACGATGGGTGTTGCCAATTTCATCCTTTTTTGTTTCTAAGGTGCATTTGGGGTTGGGAATTCCTCCTTCTTCGCATTTTCGCAATAGCACCGCTATTTACACACAAAAGTTAAAGTTATAACGGTTCATAGAAATGCTGCAATCAGCTCCCTTTCATTAATGCATACTGTAGCGTACTAATTCCGGTGAAATGTCCTTCATGTCTCTGAAGAAAGCCTAAATGGGGGGGGGGGGTAATTATAAAAATTGTATGCTTTCACTCTTGCTCGCTGTGTTTTACTTTATGTTCAGTGTTGGACAACGCCTGGCTTCTCCCCAGAGAAAAATGCAACTTTTTTCCCATCTCTTGAACTCAAGACGATAATACCTCTAACAAACAACTTAAGACTTATCTATATATACATGGCACCCTTGTAAATAATTTTATATCCTCCATCTTTTAATCACAACTTGTTTTGCAATTTACTCAACTAAATTGTTTTAAACCTGTGGTTGAAAAAAGTGGCGACACTAACGAACGACACCTCGTAGTAACGTCTGATACAAATAAAAAATCCAATTCCTGTGTTTTTGTTTCTGAGCTGCAGAGGCTAGCTTGTGTAACGTAATAACCACAGGATTGCATAACTTGTGGTAACAACATCCTGATTGCATACTTTTTGGTAAGTTATAGCAAAGGCCAGTGTCATAATCTTAGAGAACAAAGTGAATACTTACCACGGCAACTACCAAAGCCAGACCTTGTATAGCCACTGTGTCTAACAATGACAATGAGTCCATGCAAACTGACGAAAAACTTGGGAAGGCCGGTGTGCATCTGTGATATTTGCCCACATCGACATGATGTATTGATTACCATCGGTATGCAATTCTGCTGGCATGAAGGGTGAATTTATTTGTTTTTTTTTTTCATATTTATAGTATGAGTTTAGGAATATAAGAAGATAGTAGAAGCTAGGAAAAGAAAGAAAAGTAGAGAGAGAGAAGAGAAAGACCAATAAGTCGTAAAGTCAGAATGATACAAGTAGAAACGGCGCCGTCGGCAGAATCTTCTAGAAGCCGTCGCCAGCGGAGTAGGAGAAGCCGGCGAAGCACTCACAGCCCAGAGTTTTAGCACAAAAATCACCCGCACCACGCGCGTTTCGTTTCCGTCCCGCCAGTCGGACATCAGAGCCGACATGACTCAAAGCGAGACAAGACTCATACGACCAGTATCTCTCTCCTCGCCGCTTCTGCCCTCACGCATTCGACGCCTCCTAGATCTTCCACTTCCGTCCATCTCCGCGCTCCCTGGCAGCTCTCTTCTCCGTCCCCGCGCTCTTGCGCCTGCTTCTCCTCGTCGGCGCGCACATAATAGAGAAAGAAAGAGGACCTACGGTAAAACCCCTCACATTGGCCACGCCATCAGATTGCGAGTTTGTAGGCGGTGATCGTGCCTCCTCTTTTGTTTCCGGCCGTCATCTATTAAGTCGTAGCCGCCCGAGCCCCCGGCCCCCCCCGGCAACCTCCACCGGCCTTCATCAAAAGAACCCCCGCGGCCCACGCGCGCGGGGGGGCGGTTGAAACCGAGCTTCTTCCTGGAGGGGGGTTCCTTCCCACGAGAAGAAAAACAGAAAACAGAAGGCTTCTAGCAGCCTCCACACGTCTTCCCCGTGGTACAGCGCATTGGACTAACGTTACTAGAGCTGGAAGACCGCTACATAAAGAAGCGTAACAGGGAAAAACAACAAAACGCCGTACAAAAAAAAACGGGAACGGGACTTTGGTAACGGGCCGCCCGTTCGAGGGCCTGGGGGGCGGGTGGCAGGAGGGCGCCATTCCGGAAAACGGGAAATGGCCGTCGCGATCCCTAGGCAGCAACGCCTACAAAACGGACAACACTGCAAAAAAGGGGACGGACTTGCGCTGTAAGTCCAAAAGCCGGTTAGTTGCGGGGGATCGGCCCTTGGGAAACTAACGGGGGCGATTTAGTGAGCCCTCGGAGCCCTTATAGGTAGCTCCCTCCCGCTGCGCTCGTGACGCCGACAAAGCCCCCTCAGGCCTCCGCCTCGCTCACGAAATCGCGTAGGTTTCCCGCGGCTCAGCCATCTACCCTATACATAGGCCATTTAAAGAATAAAACCAGTAATTTTCCTATGATCACAGAGTTCCTCCGAGACAATAAGGCATTTTGAGGATAAAAACCCCAGAATGTTTAATGTATCAAGCCTAACCAAGGCGTTTCTTCGTTGAACCTGGAGTCTCCTCTCCACCTCCCTTGACTAGTTGTTGGTTCATGAGCAATTGGCTCCTAAGGCAATGCTTTGATGTACATATTTTTGTTTGTTAAACAACCATCCTTTAGCGCACCTTGCGGAGGCACAAGAAGTCACCACAGGCCCCCCGCAATCGTCGGCATGCTAATCTCTTATAGTTTAACGAGCCCGTGCCGCTAAACCAAACTAGCCGTATAGGAGACCACTAGTAATTCTTAATAAATAATCCCCCCATGCCCAGCCTATTTAGCGGTTACGCGCATGCGCGGGCGCAGTTCGCCGAGGGTTTTTGCAATGAACCATCCTCCCCCCCCCCCCCCCCCCGTTAAGCTAATTTTCCTCCTCTCCAGTGATTAGAGGCCTAAATTCTTGGATGGTCTGTGGGGGGCCATGGCGGGATTGAGAACAAAAAACCGCACCCTGAAACGACTTCGAGAGCTCTTATCGAGATATCATTGCATCGAGTACATGGCATTCAAGCTAAAAAAACAAAACCCCGACCTTCCGAATTTCATCATCAAACGGGAAAAATATAATAATGCGCTTCGTTTGGCTGCTACGAAGGCTCCAGTCGCTTTGCCCAACGGACTGATAGTCTTGGACTATTTGAAACGGATCCGAAGCCCCCTCTCCTCCCCACATACGGTACCCTTTACTTACTCACACACTCTGCCGCCACGAAGGCCTCGGAAATAGTTTTCTCTCCCTCTCTTCTTTCCTCTCCTCTCTCTTCTTCTCTCCTCGTCGTCTCCTCCTCTCCTCGATTTTCGTCTCTCTCCGTCGTCTCTCTCGTTCTCATCAGGGTGGTTCTGGGAAGTTTTTCTCTCGTTGACTCGTGCCCGGGGGGTCTGCTCGCACGGTCTGGCGATCGATCGTCTCTGTCTCTCTCCTTTTCCCCTCAAAAATCCGAGGGGGGCGCCTTCGTCTGGTGGTTGAACGGGCGATCTCCAGCGGCAGTTCGATTGGATATACCGCACTTTTTCGTTCGGACCGTACGACAGTTGCGAGAAATCCGAGGAAGGAGGAAAAGAGAATGAAAATTGTCGCATAGAGGGAAACGATACGACGTGTGGCGAAAGCCGTCGTCCACGCGATCTAATCGTCAAGACCCGCCCATCCAGAGGGGCTACGGACGACGTTCAATACGACCCTGATATAAGCAGCTCATTTTGCCTGTGTGCCGCAGCTAACGACACTCCACGAGGAATACCGACAGGGGATAAACAAAACTCGCAAAATTAACGTCAAACCCGGGAGTTTCTTATGATTTACGAATCGAGCACAAGGAATGCCAGCAGTCTTCTACTACAAAAACAATCAAAAGCAGCAAGTTTTCCGTAACTAAACCCCGTACTACCACCCACCCCCCCCCCCCCCCCCCCCCCCCGTACCCCCCCCGTTGGGGGCTGTAACCAGTGAATTTTGTGGCGGGAGCATTTCGTGATGGCTGGGTTTGTTGGGGGCCGTGGTCTGGTGTACGCTCGGTGGAAATGATCCCAAAACCATTTCGTTTAGAGTCCAGAGGCCTGAAGAATTGGGTACTTTCCACATTCAAGGCATCAAGCATGAATTTTTCATGTTTATCACATCTGGAATGTGCTTTGAGGTGCCGAACTACTTGAAACTGGGCCTCAACTTATACACAAACCTATAAACAACAAAACGTTAGCAGTCATGATATCTTTGCTATAGTTTGTGAAGGTAAAGAACCTCATGATTATGTGACAAACACAACCTAGGCTAATTGTGAGGAGAGGCAGAGTGACAGAGAGAAAACAAGAATAATTGCAACAATTAATTGTTCACTATTTTCGCTAACCTTTTCCAATATAATGGGTGTCATTGTAAAACGATTAAAATTGTAGGAACGTTCAGTGGCAAGAACAGTCAAGCAACCATCAGTACTACCCTGCACTAGCTTCAAAAAACCAATTGCTTGCTTCGTTTTCCATTGTCTCCTCTGCCACCTCCCCAGTCTCTAATGAGGGTGTCCAATTTTTAGTATAATTATCAGCCAGTTGTCAAACATGGAACATACACTTTCTTTCTGCACCTCTCTCTACCTAGCTTCAATCCAATAAGGGTGTTAACATTTTGCAATTTTTGTAGGAACATCAGTGCAATACGAGACAAGCCCGCCCCCCCCGGGCACACCGCAGGGGCACGTGCACCCCTCGGGAAACAACCCGATACTGTGCGGGCGAGCGATGAGGAACACCAGCCTCCCGGGCGCCCGCTGGCCGACGACCCGAACGGGGGCCCCCGCATTTCACTGGGAAGAACAGGAGTGACGGCCCGCGAGTGAAAGTGAACCCCTGTTTTTTCCGGAGTTTTTATATCTCTGCTAACTGACAGGAGCCTCCTCATTACACTATCCGTGAGGATCAGTCGATTCTGACACCGTTTGCTGTCCTGCAAACTGAAGACCGTGATACGCCAGAAAACAGTGACGTCTTCTACTCTATCACAGGTAAAAGCTGGAAAATTGATGATGTGAGTGTAATCCAATGGATGGTAGGTGGAGAAACAACCGAGTATTTTGATGTCTTCAGTCAAACTGGGCAGCTTTACCTCAACCAGCTAGTGGTATGAAAAGCTATTGGCTGATCTGAGTTAAAGAGTTTTGAGGTTTTGATAAAACTGCAGGATAGGGAGACTGAGGTTGTCCACCTGCTGGAGATCACTGCTCAGAGTTTCCTTGGTGATGCATCAGTGAGTCATGTGACCATCATGTGATCCATCACCTGAGTGGTGTGTTCTGCAGGACTGCACAGAGCTCAGTTGCTCTGTGACCACTCTCACAGTCTCACTGATAGACGTCAATGACAACACTCCACAATGGTCCCTCAGGGAGTACATAATTGGTCAGATTACCTGGGGTCACCCCATTATCATGTGATACCTCCTGCTCTTTCTCTTTAGGTGTCAATGAAACTACTGTTCCGGGTACAACTATTGGAAGAATAGAGGTAATGTTCTCTCACGGGCAAAAAACTTTTTCTACACTTTGTGTGTGTTTTTTCCCCCACCAGGCGCAGGATGCTGATGCTGAAGACTTTGGTCTGGTGTGGTATCGACTCACGGTGCCGGCTACTCCACTGGTTACTCTGGAGGAGGACACCGGAGTACTCCGACTCAACCAGAGTCTGGACTTACTCCAGTTCAGAGTGTCTCCCGTTTTCACGGCAGTTGCCTTCGATAACCGCGGCTCTTCCCCCTCCTCTATCTCCATGAATGTCCCAGTCGATGGTAATGAGTAGCCTCAAGAGTCGAGGATCGTAGTAAACTGATGATTGCATTGTTGTTCAGCTTGTGTCGGTGGCTGAAGAGTATCTGGTGGTACTCACCATATCACAGTCCCTGGCTGAAGTTCAGGCAGACATGAATCAGCTTCAGAGGTAAAGTATTGGCTATAAAATGCCTCCCTTGCTTGGTTTGAGTGTTGGCTATTTTGCTGCAGGGTAGTGGAGATGGTTCCTGGGGCAAGGCTCTCAGTCTATGACATCAGAGAAAGCACTGCTAGTGAAGAAGAAGCTGGAGGAAGAGTGGTTAAGAGACAAGGCCCACAGTGAGATTCTTATGTGGAGCATGACTCTCACGCTACAATTGTAATCCTCCAGGACTGACGTGGTTCTGTTTGGGCTCAGCTCTGACGGAGGACAGCTGCTCACCTCACAACAGACACTCGAGTGAGTCACACTGAGGTTTAGTAGTGATGCACTATACATCTGCTCGCATTTTGCAGTGTTATATCCAACAATGCCAGTGTTTTTGGAGACATGTATACCATCACGACTGTGAAGGTGAGCTCGGTATTGCTCTGGTAGCTATGCCACTATAATGAGTGACGTCTTTCCTCAGGTATTTCCAGTGCCAGCCTCCGAAGAGGACTCAGAAGATTTGGACAGACTCACTCTGACTATTGTAGTGGCATCAGTGGTAGTTGGAGTTCTGTTGGTGGTTCTCTTTGTCACTCTCTGTGGCTGCTGCTGGCTACAAAACAGGTTTCCTCCTCATATTATACACACTCAGTAACTACTGAATATTATCATGTTTTGTCCCTATTCTCTCTATTTAGGCTGAAGCAGAAGAGAAAGTATTATGAGCCAAGTGAGACAGAGTTTTCTATTGAAATTGCCACTCTTCTATAGTTGTGCCTTAACGCAGGTCATCGTTCTAATAGACAAGGATACCGAGATGAGAGAGAGAGTGTGCGCTACTCCACTGCTGAAGGGTACAGTCATAGCTAGATTGTGTGGGATTTTTCTAAAACGTATACACAGGGTCGAGCTGTATGGAGACAGCGAACTGTTCAGGGATAGTTGGGGAGAACGGGGATGGGGTGAGGAGGGGGAGGACATGTTCAGACCCAAAGAAGTCACCATGAGGGAGGGTGGCAGGCGGAATAGAGATGGAGGAGCCACCGATAGTGGAACGTATGCAATATTCCAAACACTGTCACGTTTTACTTTCCTCTGGCCACAGGAGACCCTGGGACTCTCAGAATTCTGAAGAGGTCCGGAGAAGTGTTTTGTACGAGTCAAAGGTAACACTGGCTTCTCTCACTGTTTATCAGAACACAGGAGCAGATTATGAGCCAGACGTGGCGTGTTTTTTCCTAGGATTTTGTCATGGATGTGTTTGAAGATTCTGACGTGGAGGATGAAGGAATGGAAGCGAGCCCAGCTGTCGATCTCACTGCAGAGGGTGGCGAGGAGACAGAGCCCCAGAGGAGTTTGGGTTATAGTTTGGAGGGAGAAAGAGAGGAAGAAGACGATATGGTGCCCATGCTAAGGCCGCATTCACATCTTGAAGACATACAGGAAGCAGTGGAAGAGGAAGAAGAGGAGGAAGAGGGGGAATGGGAGGATGGGACGACGGGGGCAGAGGTGTGGGAGGAGGGAGAAGGGGGAGAGGAGGAGGGGTGGGGAGATGAGGAAGAGGAGCCCAGTCCCGCAGACATGATGACAGAGGAAGAAGCGAGAATGCTGGCAGGTCCTTATGACGACGAGGGCCTGCTGCCAGACCCTCTTCTCTTCTGACACTCTTGTTGCTAACATTGTAACATGCACACAATAATTAACTATAACCCCGTTACTTATTATGCTGTCATCAACGCTAAACAGGTCTTGTTGTGCAAGCGCAACGGAGAATTTCGCAACTTGCAGGTGCGCAAGGCACTGGGTGACATGCGAGTGAGGTTTCGAATTCCGCCGCCAACGCATCTTTGCTAAGATTTTCGTACACTCCCCAACAACTCATTCTGTAGTCGTGGAAGAAGGTCCGTGGCTGGCAATGGGTCAGCAGTGCAGTTTCGGTCGTGGTGCGGTGTATTCGCCGCCCGATTCGCCCGGCGCCGGCACGCGCGACGTCAAAGCCTTTTCGTACAACTACACTCGGGCGCAGACGACGTTGCGAGAGCTCTTCGCTGCCATTCGCACCGGTCTAGTGGTGTCCGAGGCAGAGTTTAGCGTTCTCCCGCCGGCCATCGCCACCTCGGCAAAGATCAAGTTCAGTCTCGGGACCGGCGACGCGGCGGTGGAAGATGGTGTGGGGGGAGGTCCAGGAAGAGGCGTCTGCCGCAGAGCCCGCGGAGCCAGAAGAAAATGAAGATGAAGAAAACGAGGAGGAAGCTGAAAAAAAGGGGCCGTACGTGTTGGTGACGACGCTCAGAGGGCCCGGCTGGGCGCAAGGGCTGATGATGAAGCTCTCTGTGAGGCCGATTGTAGGACCATTCGCACACCGAATTCTCCTCCTTAGCTGGCGAGAAAATACGCTCCGCGTAGAGGGGAGCGAGCCGGGGGAGCTCAACCCGAGGACTATTCCCGACGCATTCGAAGACGAGACAGATTTCTGCAAATGCTGTCTTCTCCTGGCCTATCACTCCGACTCGTCGGGAAAGTTCAATCCGGAGGAAGTGGAGAAAGACGAGGAGAGTGATCGTAGCGAAACCTCGATTGTTCCTCTCAAGATGGCGGCCTACCACACCCTCATTTCTAACCTAGACGCCATTCCGCGGGACGCCAGACTCCCACCAAAGGTCTACCATCTTCTCTACGGATCTCAAGGTCCTGTGGATGTAACAATCAGAGTATGGCCTGACACGCACGCAGAGTTGTTCGGCGAATCTCCTCAGATGAGGGTGAAATCGGGAATTCTTTTTGCAGAGTTTGTGTGTCTCCTCCGTGCAAGGTTCCGTCTCCCCGACTCATTCTCCATCAAGCTATACAACAATCATATGGCAATCCAATGCAGCGATGTGGTAGGAGCTAAACACACAGCGATAGATTGTTTTGTTGTCGAGCGGACCGGTTTGGACAGCTTGCAGGGTAGCTACTGCAGCGACCTGGATGAAGCTGGAGCTACCACCAACACTACTCTAGTGGTATCACTCGTCGGCTACGAAACGAAAAACATTGTTGCCGATCTCGACATGAAGATGAGCGATTTCGACAGTGTTTTGAGGCAAAGGTTCTCGCTGAGGGACGAGAGTTTTCTCCTGATATCATCTGAGGATGACTATACTCCTCAGTACAGCAGCTACGACAACTGGAAGTGTGTCTATTCCTTTGCTCTCCCCGACACTTCATTTCGGGCCGGTCTCAGGAGGAGCATGAGGCGTTTCTCCTTCAGTCGCAGACGTAGTAGCAACGGAATCCCACAGACACCCCAAGAGCAGGTGAACGCAGCTCTACAGCCACACCTCAACAGAGTTCTAGACCTCCTCTCCTCCGAGTCCCGCCACTTTCCCTCCAACCTCGACCGCTCTGATTTTAGCATCGGCCAGCTCTACCAGACGATGCCCATGTATGGCAAGTCCCTGGACGAGTGTAACATCCATCCCTACACTATTGTGCAAGTGTTTGAAGTGACAGGCCCCTCAATTCCCATCACGTTTCGGGTTGTGTCAGATCAGCAGCAAGTTTCCACAACTGTTGGGAGCGAAGCCGACCAGTTTTCCACAGCCTCTCGCACTCGACTTACAAACATCATGGACATAAACCCAAACTGGCCCCTCCCCACTTTCTTTCGCTACGTTGACGCCATCGTTTCCCCAGGGTCGACCTCACGACGTCGCCGAAGACTGGGAATGGGGGAACAGAGTCTGGAGAGTTGGGAAGACGAGGATACAACTCTTGGTCAGCTACTGGACCAGTGGAAACCAACATGGTGGCCAATTGAGGGCGAAGAGAGGAAGCCCCTGACAATCAAAGACATCAATCCTTCTGAATTCTTAGTCGTTGAAAAATTTTAAAAATGCACATTTTATACTTTGTAAAAGCAGCAGCAGTAAAAAAAGTCATCCACTTATGCTTAAATACGAGCACTCTTGATACGTCTGTGTGTCTACCAGTATAGCTCAGCTGCATAGAGAGTAAAATGATATTTGAATGATTCAAAGAACACCTAATTTAAGGAGAATGTCTGTGGAAGCTACAAATTAGTTATTCTAACTAGACAATTACAGGACGAGAACCTTTCTTTGTCCTGTTCCAAGTTCTGTGGGCAAAAAAGGCTGAGGCACACGACATCAGCATCAGGATATATCCAATAAACTGTGGAAATAATCACAAAGGGCCACTTTAGCATGTTCGGATAAGCAGGAAAACAATGCTATATAGCAATGATTTATGCTGTATCTGATTTGACCTAGTGTATATGAGCAGTTAGTTTACACAGAGGATGAATGCTGGCATATGGACAAGTGAATGCAACTCTGTGTTCTATAAAGAAACAATGATGTACTGTACACACCCAACAAGCACCCAAAAGGGCTCTCTATTGAGGTGTGGAGGTGCGGACAGACTTACAGCGGCTCCCTGAAGTGCAGCAATCTCCCACTGCACCGCGTACACCGTCACGATGATAGCGGCCACTAGCCACAGCGTGCAGAAAATCATGCAGATTATCGCGTCCTGCGGGATAGCGGGGTTGAAGCAGTGTTTTTTTAGAAGTGTGTTAGTCTGTTTACCACGAGGCGGTGGATGTAAATGCCCGGGACGAACACCTCCACTATAAAGACAAGTCCGATGTAGATGAGAAAGGCGATGCCCACGAAGATGAAGAATATTCCTGCCGTGTTTCCGAATACGGCCAGAACTATTCCCGTCAACGCCACGGGCTGTGGAGGGAAAGTGAGATGGAAACATTTTCCAGAAAGAGAGAGCGAAGAGTAAAACTCACTACGGCGCACATTCTGAGGATTCCTTCAGTGCTGCGCGGATAGCTGGTGTCAGGCATGCGGCGCTGCGGATCTTGCGGCTGGTTGTCGACCAGCACCTGCTGGCCGGGGTCTCTGTTCATGGGCCGTCTCTCTCCCTCCGTTTGAGCGTCCATCGCCGATCGACTCTGCTGCCGCCGTTTACGCGAACGAAAAAGCGATTACGCATGCGCACTGTGTTCCGGTTATATACATTTTAAAGGGGCGGAGTCACACACACGCGCACGTGGTAGAGATGGAGGAGGAGAAGAGGATAGGCCTCCTGGTAGCGGACTCTGTAGCCTTCATTAAGAGAGCTCCGTTGGAGAAGTGGAGCAGTAAAGTAGTGACAGTCAGAGACGTCGTGTCCGAGATCCGAGACAAGGCCTCTCGCGAGAGGCTCCAAGTCTTGCCCTTCGACCTGTCTTTCAGAGAACCTTCCGCTGACGCCCTCCAACACGGTGAGTTACCCTCTCTCTGACAAGTCTCCGCAGTAATAGGGCCTTCTCTAGTCACCAGGTTCGCCAAGAAAACGGGAGATTACGGAGCGCTCTCACCCGTGGACCTGAAGCTAATTTCCCTCACCTACCAGCTTCACTGCGAGCAGGATCCTCTGTCTGTGCCAAAGCTCAGACAAGAACCACTGAAACAAGTAATTCCCTTCATTTAGAGAAAGTTTCTGGAATTGTGGACATTATCCTTCAAAATTTCTTTCTTTTCAGCAAGTGGCGGAGAGGGGTGAAGCATCGCTCAATATTGCAGGGTTTTACTCCCCACGGAAGAAGAGTGTGAGGAGAACCGAGTCGAGTGGGAAGGCAAATGGTGTCGGTGGAAATGACGAGACTGATAATGATAGGGGCAATTGTGAGGAGGAGGAACATGTAGAGTTAGTTGAGCAGGTGGAAAACCTGGAACTAGAGAACACCTCAGAGCAAGAAGATGGAAGAGAGGAAGATGATGACGATGAAGAAGGTTGGATCACTCCCGAGAACTTGCAGCAAGTGTGCGAAGAGATGGGCGCTGTACTGGACGATCTTCCTCAGTCTCTCAGTGTCGGCTGTATCACAACTGACTTTGCTATGCAGGCAAGCAATGCTAGGCAATAATGATAAGTAGTATTATATATAGCAAGGTATCCAAAAATATTGTGTGTCTGTCTTCACAGAACGTGCTGCTTCAGATGGGGCTGAACCTGATCTCACTAGATGGGAAAAGGATAAGGCAGCTCAGAACCTATGCCAAGAAATGCAAAGGCTGCTTCAAGTATATACAATACATTCACCTCACAAACCACACCTACTTTCTCTTTCTTTTCTCTCGCAGGACCACTCTGGACACTGGTCGAGTGTGGTGTCCGTGGTGTGGAAATCGCAGTCTCTACCGAGTGTCAGTGATCGTGGACAGCAGTGGGAGAATGCAGTACAAACCACTCGGCAGAAAACAGTTCAGTCACAGAGGACTTCGGGTAAGACCTGAACCAACGCATTTTTCATTGCGTTATGTGTTTTGTATTTTAGTACCCGCTGTCCGCACCAAAGAGTGGCCGTCATGCCCAGAACCCTGTTCTATCTCCGGACCAGCAGGTCACGTACCGAGAGAGAAGACAACGAGAGAACAAAGTCGACCCCTTATCACAGGATTACGTAACCCTCCCCTCCCCGTTTGTTGTCCATGACGTGACGAGCCGGGGGGCCCGACTGGCCATGGGGACAGGGGGGCGTGGCAGCAGGGGTGGAGAAAATCGACGACGTAATCCCAATGCCGTACAACCAAAGGGACGAAGAAAGAAATAAAAACTTGTTCAAACTCTTGTCGTGCGTGAAATGTGCGCACACACCATCATAAACACACACCTGCATAATATACAAAATTATGAACCTGCAAAAATCAGTACAGTTATTGTTGTTCAATGGAATCAGAAGTTCAAGTGGGTGGAGGTATGCACCAAGTTTTCTCTCCGCGCTGCATCCAGGCCTCGATCTCCTCCACGGTGCGAGGGACGTCCGTTAGGAGCTCTGCTCCAGTTGCAGTCACCAGCACGTCATCCTCTATACGGATCTACGTCACGACGGAGAGAGGGGGGGGATATTCTCATGAAAATATGTAGTTGTTGAACTCACTCCACCACATCCTCTGAACTTCATCAGGAGGTCTCTGTTGATGAAACAGGCCTGGGCTGGGTTCAGGAGGGCATTATCCAACAACTGCAAGATTAGAACATGTTGTATTAGACCCACAGAGAAAGGTTTGAGTGAGTGCCAGTACATAAGGGCTGTGTCTAAAGTTATCCCTTATTATGCTACCACATTCCCTCTGATATAAGAGGTTGACCCACGTGATTCATGAAGTAGATTCCAGGCTCAACGGTCAGACACATCCCTTCCTGCAGAACTCTGCCAGTCCTGAGGCTCTTCAGACCTGCCTCACAGCTCCTCTCCACCCCCTGTAATCATAGCACCATATTACAATGTGATCCACGCCTCCCCACTCTGAGCAATAGTTGTTAACCAGCATTTGTCCTATTGTGTATCCTACTCTCCGTTACAATACATCAGCCTGTATACACACAGACAAAGTGATGCAAACCACTGCTGTGTACATAGGGGCTGGAGCTGTATAAACCACCCACCCATAGAATGTCAATTAGTGCAGCAAAGAATTCCCATAGTTATGTAAACACTTCTTGCGCTCCAATCATTTCGCTATTCACCAAAAAAAACATCAAATAGTATAGACATAGTGGAAGCTCTTGTTTTGACCCAGTGCTAATACTTTCGTGTATTATTCAACCTCTGAATAAAGGACTATTGTCATTGTCCCATTGTGTCCTCTATTCAGTGGTTCCTATGACTACACTACACCTCAGGATATCCTCCAACATCGTGCTCATCGAGGCCCATGAAATGGCCCAGACCGTGGGGCATGAAGACAGCTCCTAGTCTGACTGGCATCATCTCCTCCACTTCCCCCTTCAGTAGCCCCGCCTCTTTCAGTGCACCCAGGTGAACCCTGTCCGCCAGGCAGTGCATGTCGGGCCACTTCACCCCTGCACACACAGTTTGGAAAGGGTTAACTTAACACGTTGCCAGGGCTACTCAATGCATCACACAATAGTCAAGCCATGGTAGGCAAGTTTGCCTCTTGTAAACCGGTCTTCGCATAACAACTTTGTACAGTTACGATACTATGGTACACAGTGTCCCACTGCCTTAGTAAAGAGAGAGACATGGGTTGAAGTAAAGCGACATATAGTTTGAATGGGGCAACACACACACACACCAGATGTATATACCACTGACCAGGTCTGATTGCTGCCAGAACGGCTCTGTTGGCTTTGAGCACTGCGTTGTAGATGAGCTTCTGCTGCTCTGAGAACACCCCGTTGGCCGGGAAGGAGCAGGTGATGTCACTGGCATAGCAACAGTACTCTCCACCCATGTCAAACAGGCTTGGCGAGGAGAGGGGAGGGGAGGAGGGGAGGAGGGGGACGGGAAATCAACTTAAACACACACACACTCGTTGGCCAAAAACATAGGTACACATACACATACCATAGCACCTTTAGAGGAAGTAAATCAGGAGCCTATGTATACGCCGCTTATTAACCTTTAAAACTGCCAAATAAGTACACCGGTCCTGCTGTACACACTCACTTTGCTTGCCAAACACATAATACATAGATACATATGTATATGACCTTTGAACGATGCATTACATAACACATATTTCTCTGTCTCTCTCTCTCTCTTACCACATGTCTCCATCCTGGAGCGTGCGGGTGTGGGGTTCCCCGGCATGGCCGTAGTGGAGCGTGGCAGAGTTGTGTCCGCTGGCACAGATACATGTGTACGACACGTGACGCATTCCTCCCCGAGAGTAGCACACGTGCTGAAACAGACTCTCCAACTCATACTCTTTCATTCCCGGCTTCACCGCTCGCATCACCTGATCCGGGAGATTGACCACACCCCTTTGACCACACCTACTCACCTGACAGTGAGCCATGCTGCTGATTTGATTGGTGTATCGAAGAATGGCCTTCTCTGCATCTGTCTTGAGCACACGGCTACACATTATAGAGTAATTTTACTGTAACACTTTTGAGTGTGGAATGTTTGCAAAATAGCTTACAAACAAACTATTTAAAAATCTAGTTTGAAATTTCCATTATCTATGATTGTTAAATTCATGAGTCAAGTGTAACACACCATTCTGTGATGACAGGGTGCAGAATTGAATTGTTGATAATTTCCTTGAACCTGCAAAAAAACGAGCAACGATAATCAACTGCTGTGGTTTTCATTTCAATAGAGACTTACTTTCCAATTCCGTCAAAAGCTGCTTCTTTGCAGAAAGACCCGCTGTCAGTGTTTCTGCCATACTGTGAATATGGGATGAAGGGGGGTGGGATAGGAGAGAGGGGGGAGAGTGGGGAGATGGTAGCTACAAATCACCTGATAATCCATAAAGGGTGATTGCTGCCAAGCGCACCACCACTCCACTCTATTTTGGGGCCTGTTACTAGGTAGCTATGTACAGTATGGGTTCCCCCCCCTTTGAGGCTTAGTGGTACAAGGTACCTGGCAACGACACATTATGAGGTATGATTTATTGGACACCCACTTACAGCAGATGGCTGAGCTACTACCAAGTAGGTTTGATGATGGCAAGTATGCTCTATTCGTGCTGCGTATGAGCACACCTGCCACCATCAAACCCATACGTAAACACCACCAATGAACACAGAACCACGTGTTTGATTGATAGTGACTCACCAAAGTCAGCAGCATTGTCGGCTTCTTCTTTTCCAGGACTTGGGCAATCTGGGGACAACAGACAAAGCAACTAGTCTATTTCATTCATGGATCCAGCAAGTAGGAGGTCATTTCTTTCATGGACAGAAGAGGGGGGGGCAAAAAATAACACTAATTTTTGAGGGGCTCACTGATACTTTGGTAATAGAATTCCAAGGTGCAACAAGCATACAAATGCGAGGGAAATTCCCCCTGAATCTCTCTGAAAGAATTGTGTCAGGATTGCTTGCCTCGTCTGTGTAGTGAACCTCGTCCACGGCGTACTCTCTCTGGAAGTGCTCCCGTGGATAAATCCTGAGTTATTAACAAATTAATAGAGTTGAAGGTGAGAAGGAAATATTGGGTGGAGATTACTGGCCCATCCACGTTGCATAGTCCTCCGGAAGATGGGGGACAAAGAGAACAGCTTTACCACTGTGAACCTGGCACACACAGACAACAGTACTCATACTAAGAGCCTCTTGTGAGTGAATAAAGAAACAAACCTCAACTGCTCCGTAGCAATCTGCCTCTGTCACACCAAACAGCCAGTGGAAATACGACTCCTGTTAGGACGAATGCACAAAGACTCGTGCAATGCACAGCTGCGCCACGGCACCTGTCTAAAGACTATCTCCCTGTCTGAGGAGTGCAGGCACTCCTGCTCCCCTCCCTGCAGCACTACAATAGCCCCCGGAGACACTGTCCCTTCTTCCTTCAGCTTCTCGCACAGCCGACGACGGTTGTCGGCGAACAGGGACATGGCGACCGAGAGGCAGTCGGGCCCCATCTTGAAGACGGGGCTGGAGGTGGGGAGGAGAGGGGTAAATAGAGTTCCAGCGTTGCTGCATAGTAGTAGAGATCGACCTGCCTCCTCCAGCAGCCATCTTCTTCTCTGCGTGTCTGGGGTCAAAGATCGTACGCTTTGTGCGCGCGCATGCGTAGAGAATGCGCGATGCTGCTGTGAGCTTCGACGCTAGTATATAGAGGGGACTTTGTTGACAAGTCAGATTGATAAATAACCCTTACATGTGTGTCTAAGATAATGATAGTAAGTGAGAATGTTATTGTGTCACTAGCTAAATTAAACAAGCCTCTCTCCTTCCCGAACATGCTTAGAAAATGTTACTGTCCCATCATTGGCCTCGGTTACTCTGTAGTCATACTTTCTGAAGTTCCACAAATCGATCGCGCGATGGTCCAAAACAGCTTTGTCCATCTCTTCAAACAGCGGGGAAAGCGGCTCCAGATTAGCCACTTTGACAAACTCCCGAACGAGAGGAAATTCAGGCTCGACTTGGTGGGCGTGGTAAAGGGCACCCCCCTGCTCTAAGTGGGCAATATACTGCTCCATGCGCTCCCTTTCCATCGCCTGTTTCGAAGGCAGCTTTGACTCTCCCAGAAGGACAGAGACGATCATCTGGGCTTGAATGTGGAAGAACGGAAATGCTACGATCGAGTAGTTGACTCCCAACAACGCCATGGACGGGTGGGCGATATTGAACGTGTGTTTATACAGCGGAGTTACTCGTCGGCCGCACTCAACCTGTATCCCAGTCTCCTGCGAGAGGAACGGGAAATGGAACTCGTAGCCCGTGCAGAGAATGATGGAGTCTACCACTCGAGACTCTCCGTTTTCAAAGCAAACTGTTCCGTCTGGAGCGATCTTGGTGATGGGGGGAAACTGATCCGCGTTTTGCGGTATATTGTACTGCACTTTATTGCTGTGGTAGACAGGTAGACGGCCTTTGCAACTGGAACCAAGTAGCCCAATATGTCGTTTCCCGAGTTACCGGAGCCCACTATCAGCACTCGCTGGCCAACGTACGACTCACTGGTGCGGTAGGCATGACTGTGTGTCACGCGACCAGGGAATTCATCAAGACCAGGGATGGTGGGTGTGAAAGGCTTTGAATAGTGCCTGTAATAGGAGACGAGGAAAGCATGCACAGCAATTATGTCGTAGGGATGATATGCGAACAAACTCTCACCCAACACAAACCAGAACAGAGTCGAAGATCTCCTGGGCGATCATCCCCGTCTCCAGGTCTTTAGTCCGGACCATCCAACGCACGTCATCCCGCACGCCGTTCGCAATTTCGCCGTCCGTCAGCGGACTGCTGCGAGGTCGCGGCTTGATACTCTCCACCAGAGTATGTAACGCAATGTCCCTGTAAAGGTCAAACTTCGTCGCGTACCGTTTCAGGTACTGGAGGACATCAGCGTGCCCCACGAAGGAAGGCAGGTCTTCTTCGTCGAAGGGAAAGTCTGGGTAATGCATCATCTCCTTCGGCAGATTGGCTCTGTGCAACATACCGGTGCGAAAACAATTGCAAAGCTACTTGCTGCGCCTGAGCTATAGCGAGACCCAGTAGACTACGATTATTATCACTGCAGTAGCTACAGAGAAGTTCCACTAGGAGGCATCCCAAAGTTCCACTAGGAGGCATCCCAAAGTTCCGCTAGGAGCAAAGTTCCGCTAGGAGGCATCCCATAGTATAAACTTGTCCCGCTCACCGCAAGGCCTTGGGGATACTGCTGTGCACCGGTAGCCCGTACTCATCTTTGTCAGTGCAGTCAGTGTAGAGCCAAGTGCCGCCTACCTCCTTGGCCCTTTCGAACACAGACACCGAGAACGCGTCCGGGTAGCGCCGGAGGTGGCGAGCGCAGGCGAGTCCTGCTCCGCCAGCTCCTACAACTGCAACCTTCTGCATCGTCTTCGCCCCGAGCTATGATATTCGCAGTCGATCGCGCGATGGGCTGATTTTGCCAGTCGTTATGATATGAATAGGGTCAACCCGCGACATTAGTGGAACCTCTTATTTATATACACGAAGGCGTCAAAAATTTTGCGCATGCGCATATATAAACCGACTGTGCTGGGCGGGGATTTTGAACTTCGACCTCAGAAAGTGGCGGTGTGGTTTGAAGAAGTACAATGCCCAGGAGGACTAAAAACACTAGGAAGAAGGAGCCAGTCGCTCCAAGCGCCGTCAGCAAGGAGAAGATAGTCACTATTGCCGAGGACGCGGCCGTCGACAGTTTCTTGGACGATTTCAGCGTACAAAGTGAGGGCCAACGGGTTTAGAGCTGTACAGTTGAAAATTATCCTTCTCCAGCTGCAACTATAATGAAGCAGGCCCTGAAGCAGTTCGAGAAGGATGCTAAGCTGGCAATGAGTGCTCTCCCCCAAAAGACTAGCATCCCAAGGGTATTGGTGTAGCTACTGTCGGTTTATAGACATTTGAACAGTTTACATTTACACATCCTATAGGATATACTAAAGATGGAACTCTCAGAGTTCATCAGTGAGTGGAGAGGGAGGGTGTGGGAGTCACTAATCTCATTGTATTGTTGTTGTTTGTGTATAGAGAGAGGTGGTTCGTTTCAGGCAGTGTGGGAATCACTGGTAGGTTGACCCCTCTCATCACTAGGCAATCACATCGTCCACTCTCTGAATCTGCAGAAAGATGAAAAGCAGAAGCCTCCATCTCTGACTCCAGAACCCGAACTGTAAGTTTCACTGGTGTAATGTGTAGCCGGTGTTTGGTGATGTTTCACTCTTCGTATTACTGTGTCTTTTGTAGAAAGGAAGTATCAGAGGAAAATGCAATTTCAGGTACCAATTACGCACATAGTTAATATAGACACACGATACTGTGGTTAATTAAGTAGCACGCTGCATTGCTCCAGACACCCAACAGCTTAACGTATGGTTTACCTTTTAGAGGAAGCAACAGACTCTTCGAAAGAAAAGAACATGTTTGTTACTCCTGCCTTGAGTACAAGGAGGTAAGCATGATGTAGTCATCAACACTGCATACGTGTGTTGTGTTTGCATTGCTATATATAGTCAGAGGTCGAGACGGAGGATTGAACAAACAACAGCCAAGAGAAAACCAAAGCCCCTGGAAGAGTATGTGTAACAGTTAAACTACAGTATATATTACCGCCTTCCCTCCTCTCTATAAAGGGTCAAGGTGCAGGCATACTCTAACCTCACCGGCTCTCCAGTTGATGAGAAGACTCTCATTCAGGTGGGCACCTCACTATCAGTGTACCCACAATGTTACTCATCTTCCCCTCTTCTCCCTTCAGCTGCAGGGTGACGATCTGCTTGGGGAAATCAGGGACAAGATCATGGAGGCCACAGTATGAGCAGCTCCTATCCTTCCTCTCCTCCTCTTCCATCTCCCCTCTACTCCCCCTTGTTTCAATACCTCCCCCTCTCACTTTCTCTCAGGCAAAGTTCCCTCAAAAGTGGAGATCGAAACTGGTCCAATCCTTCAGAGAAATGAAGGTATATACCACAACATCCCTCCAACTGAATCTAGCCATCTCTCCATTCTATATATATTATGCTGGTCCTCAGGCACAGGCAGCTCTGAAGGAAACCGATGTGTTTGTAACCCCAGCCACGAGGAGATGAACATTGTGCTGCCTTCCTTTGTTCAGCAATTTAGACAGTTTATCTTATCACAGTTTACACTATATAGTCACTACACTCATAATATTATCTTTGCAAACCATAACGTTTCAGAAGGTATTTGTGTCTTAGATTTTTCCAAGTAGGGTTCAGAGTTCGTGTCAGGGCGGCCATAAGCCCCACCCCCTGGCCCTATCGTCTAGCACAATAGGCGCCCACGCGGATATTATCACACGGGCGCTTTTATTCCCGAGGCGGCGGTTGGGAGCGGACACGGCGCAGGTGCCATGGCGGCCATCGAGAGAGAGTTTTTGAACCTGGAGGCCTCGCAGGGAGGATGGCACGTTCTGTTCCAGGTATTTGGTGGGACCCTAGTGGGTTGAGGATCGGTCATTAGCTCCTACACTTTTCAGAAAGAGCCTTACTTTTGTTAGCTTGGGTTGTAATCGTATAAGGGAAGCTCTCGCGAGGGTGACGTAGGGCCTTGTGTCTTCCGCAGCGACTGCAGCAGATCTCCAGACTCAATGCTGGGACCCAGTTGGTGGCCAAGACTCCACTCAACATCAACAGAAACAGATATAGAGATGTTCTGCCCAGTAAGTTTGTGTCTATATATGTGTGTGCGTGCAAAGAAGCCCAGTAGAACCTTTCTATATGCAGTGTGTATGTATATACATTGCTAGGGAACGAGGGTAAAGAGGGGTAAGGAGGGAGGGGGGGTGTTGCCAGTAGATTAGGTTCCACTGGGAGTGACCAGCTTGGATTACATTGTACACCCTCCCCAGCCAACTTTCCCCTGTCCTGCCGATACTGAAAACCGGTGACGTACAAATCATCCTTTACAAACACCCAGTCTGGGCACTCTGAAGTGAATGACACACATACGTTCGCAGTGTGTAGCCCAGCACAATACGCCCGTGTGTACAAATCACATTAGACCGGGGGTGTTAGTTTTTGAATGAAGGTGTGCTAGTTGTTGTTGGCGGTGCGCACGGTTTATGCTCAAGTGTGCTTTTGCTTGCTTTGTAGGGGGTGTGTGTCTTGTGGCTTGGGAGTGCGTATTTTCTAGGGCATTGGTACCGTCGGACACGATGTCCACTGTAGTGGTATTGCAGAGTGGGCTGTTGGTTCCAACAACTGAAGCTTTGAAGTGATCACATCTTTGTTCCTCTCTCTCCCCCCCTTCCCTACATCTCTCTCTCTCTCTCTCTCTCTCTCTCTGCTAACTGCCAGTTGACGAGACTAGAGTGAAACTACAGGACCAAAACAACGACTACATCAATGCCAATTTCGTAAAGGTATACACCAACATACACGTGTGGTACAGGCCGTTTGGAATCTTAGGATTTTGTTTGTTGTGTGTATATATACCTCCACATGCATACCTTGCTTGCCCCACGTATATATGTTCTTTTATGGTAACTCACTAACTACATGTATTTAGTCTAGCCCACTCCATTTATTGCCTGCAGGTGGAAGCCGTTAACAGAACTTACATCCTCACCCAGGTATGCATTATATGCACCCATTCCCACACCATTCCATACCCAACACTGTGTGTGATACTGTATATATACCACTGCTTTCGCTGGGCCAAAAGGAGTGTGTTCCTGGAAGCTTTGTGTTACCACATAGTTCATCTCAGACCACTCACCTTATAGGGTCTGTGTCTACTAGTGTAATTGGTTGCCCTGGTAACTTCCTGGAATGCTGTTAGCTGGTACTCACTGGAGAAGTGTAATTTGGCTGGAGTATTGGACGTCATGTGTCCTTGATGGAAGAAATCTCTTGCATTCGCGTTTGCAAATGCCCCCCCCCCCCTCTCTTCTCTTCCCTCTCTTCCCTCTCGGCCTTGTCAGTGGGGCCTAGGTGCTAACAGTGGCCAGAAAAGGAGAGGGGTGGCCCCTGTTTTAACGAGGTGCCCCAACTAAGCCTGGTTTCAGCCACAACAGTTGTCCATTACGTCTCCACATTGGGTCTTTTTACCTTGCAAGCCAAGTCCAGATCTACTATAATATTATCATTACCCTATTACATGTACTTATCCCTCCAATATGACGTGTAATACTGTCTATTCTCGTGAGGGATCAACCAGTTCTGAACTCCTCTTGTGTTTCTCCCTGTCACCATACGTGTGAGGGGTTGTTGCCAAACAGAGGGGGGGGGGTGTTGGTTGGGAGTGTGAGATTCGTTCTCCGTTCGTTTACCCAGGGTCCCCTCCAGCACACGCTGGGACACTTCTGGCAGATGGTGTGGGAGCAGAAGACTGCTGGGATCGTCATGCTCAACAAGTGCATGGAGCGTGGGATGGTGAGCACTCGCCCGTGCCTTCATACATAAAGACATATGTATGTAGTGTATGCATACAGACATGTATGTATCATTGGGGGAAGTAATCTTTCCATGCCATACTGTAGACCTGATGATGATCATTAACTCTTTAAGAATAGTCATACGTGTATTGACATAGTGCTGTAGCGTTCAAAGAAGAACCTTAGCTATCGGTGAAACTTTTTCCTCTTTAATTCTTTGTGTGCGAATCTAGTCTCTGTGAGAGTAATCCACAGAAGCTGTTTGCGCAAAATCGAAAGAGTCATTTCAACCGTTCATGCTAGTAAAGAAAGAGGTTTTGTTTTGTGTCTGCAGAACAAGTGTGCCAAGTACTGGCCGGATCTGGGGGAGAACCCCATGATGTTCAACGATCTCTATGTGGTGGAGTCCATGCGGAGCGAGGAGGCTGAGTCTTACTGCCTCACGTACCTAACTCTGCACAACCTGGACGGTACGTGTTTCAGTTGTCGCTGGGTGGCCAGATTGGTCTCCTACTGTGGTTCCTTCTAGTGGTCCCTCTGTGGTCTCTACAGGTTGATATGTAGGTTCACATAATGGTATTGTAGTGGTCTGCGAGTGGTTTGAGTTGTGTTGTAGTGGTCTCTCACAGTGGTTTCAGTAGTCTTGTAGTGGTCTTGTGGTGGTTTTAATGGTCTTCTGGTGGTTTCTCTCTCTAGACGGAGGAGACAAGAACGGTGCTGCACTTCCACTACCTCCAGTGGCCGGATTTCGGGGTACCCCAAACTCCGAATGTGTTCCTGGAGTACCTCCTGGCAGTGCGGGGTTCTGGGGTACTTGACCCCGGAGTAGGGCCGACTCTAGTTCACTGCAGTGCTGGCATTGGTCGCTCCGGAACATTCTGTGTGGTGGACGTCTGTCTGGCAAAGGTACACCCACACACAGAGAACTCAGTTTTAGTAGTACAGTAATACCCCCCTGTACGTCTGGTCTGGTGAACTACCCCCTTCCTTCCTTCCTTCCTGATCTCGTTCTCTCTTCCTCCTCGACACAGCTGGAAGAGACGAGGAACCTAAACTCTCTGAACGTGCAGGAGTTGCTGCTGGACATGAGAAAGCAGCGTCTTGGTCTGATCCAGACCCCAGACCAACTCCGCTTCTCATACATTGCCATTCTCCAGGTCTGCACATACCTACAGTATGTACTGTATGTGTCTATTATGTGTGTGTCAAGCAGAAATGGCATTCATTGTCGGACCAACACACACACACACACACTCTACATTACGTCTGTATACATGATTGTGTACTAAGGTGTACTTAAATCATATGTGCATAAACTTACATTGATACACCGAGTATACATCAAGATTTGGCATGGCAGGTCAATCAATGTCTTTTAATATGGCACTCTGTTCAGTGTTTATCAATCTTGATGTGTACATCCACTACATACTACGTGTGGTGACTATGTGTAGGGTGCCTACAACAACCTGGGTCTGAAGAACAGTCTGTTCGAGTTGTCTCAGGAACTGCAGGCAGAAGAAGAGGAGGAGAAGGAGTCTGAATCTGAAGAAGATTCTCTCGTCTCTTCGGACGAGAGTAAGACATTTCATTTTACTGATGATCTGTATGACTGTGTGTTGTAACAGGTGGAAACGAAGAGCAGTCGGGGAAATGCCCCAATCTGACTCGGGAGTACGGAGTCCCGTACGACGAGGACGTTCCTCCGCCCATTCCGCCACGCCCACCCGACACCCTCCCCGCCCCTGGTCCCCCTCCTCCCCCTCCCACCTCACTCCCTCCCGGTCTGTTTAATAGCACGGATATTGCGGTGTTTAGTGATGTGAGATGTACTCAGGTCCTCCGGAGGTCCACTACCATGATCAGAGAGAACCCTTCCAATCACTGGACTCCCAGGAAGAAGACGAACCCTACCCCCAGGTCCCTCACGGCTACGAGAACGGAGAGGTGAGTGGCTCGGACAGCGAGAGAAAAGACGAGGAGGTGGAGGAGGAGGAAGAGGAGGAGGCCCCTCCAATCCCGCCACGAGGGAAAAGCCTGTCGCCGGAAACTAAACCCGGTGTCTCTGGAATGAATGCAGCCAGAGAAGAACTCCTGAACGGGAGAATGATGACTACGGCGACCGGTCATTTTTTAGGGCCAGGAAGAGGAGACGCTGTCACTCAGTCTCCTCCTCTTTATCATGGCTCCGCCCACCTGCCCGCAAACGTCCGAGGGGGAGGAGGAGGAAACGAAGACGAAGTTCCGCCACAGGTCCCAGCCAAGTTGTCACGGAAACGGGGTCCGGAGGTCGACGAGGCGGCTCTGATGTCGGAGCTGAACGAGATCTCTAGTCTCATTGCTGATCAGGAGAGACGAAGCAAGACACACCCCACGGCACAGGGAAACCAGCAAATGTAAGCCTATAATGTTGCATAATGCACCGTGTTTAGACAAGCTATAGAAGTAATCAGTGCTTGGTGTACACACAGTTATAGATCAACGTTGTCTGTGGCATGTATATAAACATCTGTGGGTGATATAGTGGGTTCAGTAACAAAGTCTACTGTATTACTTGCTACTGTTGTTCCACAGCTCAACGTCAGAGCTGCGGCGTCGATCCCAGCGGGAGGAGCGAAGGGAGCGAGTGGCGAGTCGACTCAGCTCCATGAAGACAAAGGACCGGAGTCACCAGGAGCAGCTGGAGAAGACAGCAGGCGCAGCGACATCGTCCCACCACCTCTCTGTTCCCTGGCTTGTCCTAGGGTTTGCCGTCATGGTGGGGTATTGCGTGTACTTCCTCTACACCCGGTGACAATTTCATATTCAGCACCGTTTATTATGATATGCACCACCACCAAACCCACATTTCACCGTTGTAATTCATATCTGCCTGCTTAATAATATTTCTACGTATATATTTGTAAAAATAATTATCATGTGTGGTTATTTTGTGTATGAAGAGCACGTCAAATCAATCTGTATTGATACTGAATAAAAAAGAGGAAAAACGACAAGCACGACAATCAGTTATGAACAACAGCCTCTCTTTGTTCTTCCGTTTGACTGGCCGAGTTTGAGAGTTCCTATTTTGTTGCTGATAGCTATTTGGTCAAGGGGTAGGGTTTCAGCTATGGGGAATGGGGGGGAGAGAGAGAATGTGGTATAATACACAAAGTTACACAAACACTTTATTTTGATACCTATTGCTCTGAAGAGGTCGTGGACATTGCTTCCGTCCTTTGCACTAGTTTCCATGAAGAGTGCGTTGGAATTCTTAGCAAACGCTTCGCCAGTGGCTCTGGACACCTGCAGTTGGCACAGAACAAAGGCCTGATACATAGGTAGGTAGGTACAGGCAGGAGCAGCTAATATTATTCCCAGACAAGAGCAAGGAGGGGGAGAGAAGATGGCCCAGGTACATACCTTTCTTTTCTCCTCTAAATCACTCTTGTTTCCAGTGATTGCCAGCACAATGTTCTGGGGCCCCAGCTGCTTCAGCTCTGTGATCCACGTCTGCATCTCATTGAACGATTTCTATATTTTAGTCGAAAGTGGGGTAGAGTTACACTGGTCTGGTGATGTCATGATTACCTCATCTGTAATGTCATACACTACAACAGCTGCTGCTGAACCTCTGTAGTACATTGGAGCCAAGCCTCTGTACTGTAACATACATAGCACACACACACAGCACAGCAAAGTATACATTCAAACGGTGTGAACAGACATCCTTGTATTGTTAGCTTGTTGACAACTTTCTATACATTAAAAAAAACCTTCTCTTGTCCTGCAGTGTCCCAGATTTGAAACAAGACGGAGTTGTCGCCGACTCGGACTGTCTTTGTGGTGAATGCAGCTCTGTATATACAGGGAATTATATACAGGAGCCAAGATGAAGCTGGGATTGCATGCTAGCATTGGGCCCTAACATGGCTGGCCAATGCATAGCTGTGGGCGGTGGAGAGTGTAATCCACTCTACAATCGTTGTTTCAATGTACAGAGTATTGTTTACTGCAGCGAGCACACGTCGTACACCTGGGGAACGTACAACCCTTGGTACAAGCCATGCTCAATTTGTCCTTTTATTGACGTCCCATTCACCCCGCCGCGCTAACAAGACACGCGAAAGGGCGCTAGAACAATGGACAGTTATGTCGCCGTGTATTCGGCTAACGGCAGCACAGAGCGGGCCACTCACCCGACAGTCAGACTCTCATTCTCTGTAAATACGTCCGAGACGAAGCGGTTCACCAGGCACGTCTTCCCTACTCCACTCTCCTGAAGACCGCATGCGTATATACATCAGAGCATACACATACATCCGCGCCGGGAAACGTAGACGAAGCAAGAGCTTCGGGAAACACGCCAGATGAACTCACCCCCAAGAGGCACAACTTGACTTCGTGAAGCGCCATCTTACTTCTCGGGCGCCGCAACGAGCTCATTATCGAGCCGGCCGGAAACGGTCAACGTTCGTTCGTGTGGGGCGGGGGCGGAATGTCAGCTGAGCCCCACCTACACTCGATCTACCCCGATCCCCGTGTCTTTGTAGTTCACTATAGTAAATCCGATATCTCTAAAGCCACACTCGCTTGGATCCTGCAGCTCGCTCAGTCATACGAGTGTCAGAACTCCCTTTTCCATGAACACACGTACACAGCGCGTGCGATGCGGTTTGCGCATGCGCAAAAAAACAACAAAATAGACCGACATTTCAGAGTTAGTATAAAATCACTTCTGAGAGCAGGCATCAGGTTTGTCTTCTCCCGTGTAGGCCTCACAGATAGCTTTGATGAGTCCACTTCCTTCTGCACGTGGGTCATGCTGTAAAGAGAGAATCAGAGGTCTATGGGATGTGAAATCAGTGGTCCTACGTACCTTCCCGTTGACTGTGATCCATGGAGTGTACTCATGTGGTGGTTTCAGAGCCTGGGTCTCATTGTAGTACATCAGATCCAGCCTACATGTGGATGAGAGCAAATGAAAGAGAATTACTTCATTAGTTAGAAGTCTCTTGGGAGAACTGCCTGCTGTATATATGTAGTATATACTTATACACCAGAAACCAATGGACCAAATACAGGCCCTCAGATAAAGCGGCTCCAAATAGTGGCTGACTTGTATCCTTGTTCACTGTTGAGACAGGCATCGACGGCTGTCCAGTTGTAGGATAGCTGACTGAAGCACTGCTGAGCGCCATCCAGAGTTGGGGCTATCTTCTCGTCCAGACAGTGAAGGAATGGCCAAAACTCTGTCCTGCAGTGCAGCACGTGCAGTGAGAGAGTGAGTGACATTTACGTCAGTCTTACTCGGTTTTGTAGTAGTAGAGGGTGCATGCTTCAACAGTGTTCAGAGTGCACTCCAGTTTTCCATGTTGGCATTCTATCGTTCCGTCATTTTTCAAGATTGCGTTACCCCAAGGGACGTAGTTGAGTGTGAAGATACTGCCAATCTGGAGCAACAGCAGAAACGTTACTGTAAAGTAATCCTCTCGTTTGTATTACTATATACCTCGTTCATGGCTTTTTCCAGCGGGCCATTAGCGAAGTCGATGCAGTCTGGACACAAAGACTCGGAGTAGAAACCGAGCTGGACCTTTTCCGCAGACTGGGCTCCCCCGCAGAACCCAGCGAGAACAACGGCAAGAACTGCTAGAGTTTGAATGCTCATCTTCGCAATCTACGTTGAAAGGTAGCACTAGCTGACTCACTTTACGAGCCGGAGCTTGTACTGTCTTGTGACTACAATTAAATATTACGTAATGGCTCTTAGCGCGCGCCGCTGCGCGTCGTCCGGCCGGCCAACAACCGCATTGATGACGATATCGGCACGTATACGCGCGCGCACACGCAACACACACACACACCCCCCTTCTTCTCGTTAGGGATTCTCGGTGTCGATCACAATACTCGAGGAGGCAGCTACGACGGTGCAGGACTGCTTCCTTTCAAGCGACGGATATGTGGAAACAGGGCTGGAATCTAATACGGCGGTAAGTGTTGGTATAAAAGCCGCGCAGTAAGCGTCTCTGGCGTCAAAACCCCTACCTGTCGCGAGCGCTCATCTCCGACCTCGAAAAGCCTATTCGGGCCGTATTTATGCCAGTAGTATTCGATCCACAGCCGCTCCCTCCTTCTTTACCTCGCCCCTCTAGTCGGATCTCCCTAGAAACATGAGTATTGTCAGTTCAGACCCCGCCCTCTCTCCTCTTCCCAGGACCCCGCTGCGGTTGGCGGGCGGTCTACCCACCAAGACAGGGTCCAAGTTCATACCTAGGACATCTCCAGCAACCACTGGCGTCCGCTACCTCAGTGCCTCAATACAGCTGACAGACCTGGCCCCACGTGTGAGGGAATTTGTGGAGGAACATGTGAAGATCCTGCGACCAGCCAATGTCCACGTGTGTGACGGCTCCTCAGAGGAGAACCAGAGTATGGTGAAACTCCTCCAAGACATCGGCCGACTCAAGAAACTCGACAAATACGAAAACTGGTAAGCCGACAGCACACCCTCTTTGCCTGTCTCTCACACATAATGGTGTGGATGAGAGCTGGCTTTGTTCTTATTCACTCACCCTGTCTCCTATTGATTATATCTCGGCCGAGTCTCAATCACTGTCATTTCACCTCGTATTCTTCCTCCTCAGCTACCTGGCCATTACGTCACCAGAAGACGTGGCTCGCGTGGAGAAACAGACATACGTATGCACCACGAAGAAGGAGGACTCGGTCCCCACGCCAGCCCCCCGAGTGGAATCAGTTCTGGGGAACTGGAAAGACCCGCAAGAGATGGACAAGGAAATGGAGAGCAAGTTCCAGGGTAGCATGGAAGGTGAGCCCCTCTCCTCTCTCTTTCCATTTCTTCCCACCCACTCTATATACGAGGCAATAATTATAATATTGTGATGCATAAATGTATGACGATATCGCCTTAAATAATGTTGTTTCAATAGAGGCTCACATGATTTCTTAGTAGTAACTGTATACAAAGAAATCACACAAGTGTGGAATTTTGTGCAAACAGCAGAGTTAGTTAGCGAAATAGTTGGGGAATCATCTCAGTTCAACTGGGTGACTGAGGCTAACTTTGGTAGTCAGAGACAAGGAAGGAAGGGAACATTGTATCACACAGGAAATGAGGTCTGTGGTTAGGAAGAGAGAACAGTGGCCTGCTTCCTTTCTGGTCCTCTGATCTTGTGTGTCCCTCTCACACCCCCACCCCACTTCCTGTCATGCCATACACCTTTTGTGGAGCTATATATTGCCACCACATGCAGACTTACAACCCTACCACATGACCACTCTCTCTTTTCCACACATGCGCCTCAATCCTCTCTCTCTTTTCATTAGCTGTTCAGAAATCACATCCTTCTCCCTCTCCCATAAAAATGTTCATTAACCCCACTCCAGGCCGAACAATGTATGTGATACCGTTCAGCATGGGACCGCTGGGCTCCAAGTTATCAAAGATTGGAATCCAGCTAACAGACTCTGAGTACGTGGTTGCCAGCATGAGAATCATGACCAGAATGGGTCGCGGAGTTCTCGACGTTCTCAAAGACGGCAGCTTTGTCAAGTGTGTCCATTCGGTCGGATACCCACTGAGCGAAGGTCAGAAAGATGCAGAGTGGCCGTGCAACAAGAAGAAGCTCGCCATCGTCCAGTATCCGGAGAGGAACGAGATCAAGTCGTTTGGCAGCGGGTATGGCGGGAACTCTCTCCTGGGGAAGAAGTGTTTTGCTCTGAGGATTGCGTCCACCATTGCCAGAGACGAGGGCTGGTTGGCCGAGCACATGCTGGTGAGGAGCTTTGTGAGAAAGAGAAGAGGGAGAGTATAGTGCATATGACTTGGTGTGGCTTGCCAATTCACAATTAGTGCTACCTTTCATGAATCATCCCTAGTTACCAGTTGCATTTTAACACTGGTTTTTCTCCACCTCAACAGATCCTGGGCCTTACCAACCCTCAAGGAGTGAAGAAGTACATCGCAGCTGCCTTCCCGAGTGCCTGCGGCAAGACCAACATGGCCATGCTCACACCTACCATCCCCGGCTGGAAGGCCGAGTGTGTTGGTGATGACATCGCCTGGATGAGGTTTAACGAGGAGGGGCGACTCATGGCAATCAACCCTGAGAACGGTTTCTTTGGCGTCGCTCCGGGAACCAACACCGGCTCAAATCCTAACGCTATGGGAACCATCTTTCGCAATACCATCTTCACGAACGTGGCGTCGACGTCTGATGGTGGAGTCTTCTGGGAGGGGCTGGAGAAGGAGGTTCCAGCTGATGTGTCCATTACCTCATGGCTCGGAACCAAGAACTGGGAGAAACTGACCGACCATGAAAAGAAGGAGAAACCGGCTGCCCACCCGAATTCGCGGTTCTGCACCCCAACCAGCCAGTGCCCCGTTGTTGATCCTGACTGGGAGGACCCTCGGGGAGTTCCAATTGATGCCATCCTCTTCGGCGGTCGTCGTCCGCGCACCATTCCCCTGGTCTACGAGGCAAACAGCTGGAACCACGGAGTGTTTGTCGGTGCATCGATGCGCTCTGAAGCCACCTCGGCAGCTTCCGACTTCAAAAAGGGAGGCCTTCTCCACGACCCCTTTGCAATGCGCCCATTCTTTGGCTACAACTTTTCCCACTATCTCCAGCATTGGTTGAGACTCCAGCACACACCTGGCGTCCAGATGCCCAAGATCTTCCACGTTAACTGGTTCCGCAAGTCCGACGGGAAATTCATCTGGCCGGGATTCGGCGACAACATCCGTGTCTTGGACTGGATCTTCCGTCGCTGCGATGGCGAGGACGTTGCGCAATCGAGTCCCCTCGGGCTCATCCCAAAGGAGGGCACAATCAACACCGAGGGACTGGGTCCCATCGATATGGCGTCTCTGTTCCAAATGCCGAAAGAGGAGCTACGAGAGGAGGCTGCAGTCATGGAGGACTATTTCGAGAAGCAGCTCTCCGGAGACATCCCTGCCGAGGTCCGGCAAGAACTCGAACAGTTCAAAGGTCGCGTGGATGCCTTGTAACAAACCCAGTCTTGTAGGAGTCGCGCCTTCAGAAATGTCGTGCACCAGTTAATATTATTTAGCATGAAATTTCTGTTGATATTTATTTTTCCACGAGCTGTTTTTTCTCTCTCACGACATTGTATTCTGTGAGGATAAGATTGATCTGATTGATCTGACACTATATATAATGACCAGTGGAATTTGACACAGACTGTGTAATACACAAATATGATGCGGACTGTACTGTATGGCGAATGTGAACCAGATTGTGTGGACAGTGTGTGTGTGTCATGCCATGGGTCCTGAAGCATATCGAGGGCTGCCGAAGTCCATGGACCCAGCGCCGGCAGGGGAGGCTGGCAGCTGGTAGACCAGCCAGTAGTAGTTCATGCAGAGGACGAGCGTGGCGATGAGGAGGAGGAGGAAGAACAGGAGACCCAGGTTCAGGTAGGCCACCATCTTGTTCCAGTGAGCCATCTGTTGCTGGGGGTAGAGGGGGGAGTAAAGTTAGCTAGATAATGAGCATGAGGTACATTATCATTTTAAGGCTGAGTAAAGTTCTACTTATAGAGAATTAATATGACACCTGTATAAATTTTCAAAACATCATTTTAAGGGTGAGTAAAGCTGTCAAACCCATTATTGAAATCAGAGAGAGGGTCCTCTTACCAACACCTCCACGCTGACAGACTTGGGCGGTGACCGAGGCTCTGCTGGTGTTGAAGAGGTTGGTGCACACTTGACGCACGTCTCCTCATCATCAGTAACTTCACCGTGATCTGGTTCACCTGCATCAACAGTACATCGGGTTTGTGCGAGAGTGTTTCCGAGTGATGAAGTAACCACACTTTTGCAAATTAAGTGCTGCTAAAATGTTAAAATGAAGCACGTATGTACCAGTCGCTTTATTGACGTGTCTTGGTCTCAGCTCTCCTTCACTCATGCCCTGCGTCTGCTGCGACGAGCTCCGAACCGGTACGGTCCCCAGACTAGAGACCGTTCTGGAGCGACTTGACTCAGTGTCCCCCCTCCCCTGGAGACCAGAGAAGGCTGGGTCCGATTCGGACGACTGGTGAATCTTCAACATAACCTTCCTCTTCTCCTGTACACCTCCGCCTCGTCCATTCGGCACCGACCCACTCCGCACGTCCCCTCCCTCCACCGCCTGCTCTCTGGTATGAAGCAGAATATCTGCACTCGAGTGTCGGCTCTGAAACTTTTCTCTCTTCTCTGCAGCCTGCCGTGGCATTTTCCTTCGCCACGGTACGGGGCTGGGGTTGTCCCTCCTCGTTAGCTCCGGCTCCTGAGTGCCGCCCGCAGACGACGATGACCCCGCCTCGTCTAGACTTTCGTTTGAGCCGCTGCTCTCCTGACGAGAGGAGGAGAGACCTCGATCTACTGCAGCAAGGTCCTCGAAACTCGGCGTGAGGGGAATCCTCTGCTGAGGTGGCTCCAGAAGATTCCCACTGGCTGAGGTCTGGCTTTCTTTCCCGATATCGCCGGCCGAGTACGAGTCAGTGATGGGGGATTTAACACCCTCTGAAGGGACAGATGGGAACAACAGGGAGGGAAGAGTGTTCACAGACACGGAGTCAAATCACATTACGTGTATCTTAACATATGGACTCACTTCCGAACGAGGCTCTTTTGAAAAGAAATGACTGCTCTCTCACCTTGTACTTTGGGAGCGTTTCTGTAGAACTTCTCGACAGCTTCCGCCGTCTCTGCATCTTTCAAGGCCTGCTGAGCTGCCCGGACTGCAAGACGAGATTTGGCGCTGGCTGTATTAGCTCGACCTTCGGCGAGATCAGCTTTGCTCCTGGCGGCCTCGGCTGCCTGCAGAGCGTTCATGTGTGCCTGGTTTACTTTTGCCTCCAGCTGCTTCGACTTTAGCTGGAGCTTCCTCCTCTTTAGTTTCTGGACCAGCTTCCCCCTCTGCCACTGTCCCTCCTCCTTCCGTTTCTCCTCCCCGTAGATCATGACGCCATACCCACTCCTCATGTTCTCTTCCCACTGTCCGTAGTACGTGTGGTGACCGACAATTTTCAAAACTCCGTAGCCGTGTCTCCTATCGTCTTTCCATTCGCCTTCATAGATCTGGGCATTTGAGGTCGGGTCTGAGGCAGAGCCTCCTGATGTCACGGTGGATGCAACGGAAGAGGGGTCTTCGAGAGTGGAGGCGAGATTTTCAATGGAGTCGTCCAGCGATGAATTGACTGAGACCGTTTCTACTGTCGTGCTGCGTTCGTAGTTTGAGGAGGAGCGAGTTCCGTGTCCGTGTCGCATGCCGTTTAGGTACTCTCCTCTGTACATGCCTGCAGGTAGGGCATGTGGGTATCATAATTATAGGGAACAGGTGGGCTTCTTGGCAGCTAAACCCTTATCCCATGATCAAGCACACCTACACACACTTCTGCTATAGTACAGAGCTCTAATACAGCACGCACCTCCGTCTATGTAGAGCTCAGTTCCAAGGCCATGCTGCACGCCTTCCTTCCATGTCCCTCTGAACACGACTCCGTTTGGCTGCCGGAGAACACCGAACGGCCCGCGAGAGTCCCGCGTAAACTCCCCGCAGTACTCCGTCCCGTCTTTCTTCGTCTCTTTCCCGGCTCCTTCCCGCACCCCTTGCCTCCATTTCCCCATGTACCTCTGCCCGCTGGGCCAGGTAAAGACGCCGCTGACCTGGTGGCCTCGCTCCCACACTCCCTGGAACAAGCCGTTCCCGTCCGGGCCTGTGCACGCCCCATGGCCGTGAGCCGCGTCGTTCTCCCACTCCCCGCAGTACCGCCCGCCATCCTCATACTCGTAGATGATCCCTCTCGAGGCCATGTGACGAAGACACGCTGCCTGGATGTAGTCCACGTCTTCTTTACGTCCGAGAAAACGGGTCGTCTTTTGAAGAACGTAAGGCTTGCGTGAGCCGCGTGTACGGCACGCGCTGCTAGAGGACGCGCACAATTGCGACGCAGGTGAGGTCCCACGCCCCTTAAACAGCTACAACACCCACACTTTTCGAGGAAACACAACTTCAACGATATCAGGTCACACAGTGGTTGCAGGGGAAATGATAATTCGCAGAACAACAGTGCTAAAACCAATGTTTAATTCTGTCTTGCTCTCTGTTCCTTCTCTGTCCACTCATGACGGCTGGAAGCCACTCTTGATGCTCTGCACCGAGCACCGCGAGCCACACGTTTCACACTGCAGGAAAAACAGCCGCGTCTCCTTCTGCAACATTGTCTGTGGCGAACGACACGTGTGGCAAGTAACGTACTCCTCTGCAAAAAAAGGGGACGAGAAGCTCAAAAGGTTATTTCAAAATTCTGGAAAGTGCCCCTACTGATGTATCTTCTGAGCACAGTCTCTATCTGTTTCTGCTGAAACCGCCCCTTAATTACCAGCTGGTGATTGCCGTCCACCGAGCCACTGGATACACAAACAATAAATGTGCAGTGAACCTCTCAGCACCGAGAAGAAAAAGTTGGTCAATGTGTCGTACCTAGTTCCTAGCTCAGCCAGCAGGAATGCCAGTAAGTGCTTTGGCTGTCGATGGACCCTAAACAATAAAAACTCAATACATTTCTTTGAGTGCCTCATTTCTAAAACCACCCCCAAGCAAACAAAAACTGTACGCAGACACATTGGCTCACTGTTTGCAGATCTCGGTGAAGTTTACAAACGAAGTCTTCTTGGCTCCGACACGGACCACTTGTGGCGGCTTCATGACCAGCTTCTTCTTCTGCCCAGCCACCATCTTTGGGTTCTTCTGCCGCATGATGTTGAACACTCTCTCCAGCAACTGTGGCCAAATGGGGGAAAGGTTCTCGTTAGCAGGTTAATCACAGGGGCCTCCCCACCTCATCGTAGGTGTAGTCCCGATCGCTGCCAGCCCAGGGAGAGTTGTCAACTGGCTCCGCCTCCTCCGTAGCATCAAGATCATCTATGTGTGCGATGTCATAATGATAACAATGATGTCATAATGATAACAATGATGTCATAACCTGCTGACCTTTCCCCTCCACGTCAATTTCCAAAACCACGACCACGATATCGAACCCTTCAAACGTTATGTTCTGTTGAGATTTTCTATAATATACACTCAACCATTTTCACTACAATAAACACACTCACGGGTCTCTTCTTTTTCTTCTTCTTGGGAAAGTCAAACTCGGCCCAGTTGACAGTGTCCAGGGCTGTGAGAGCTGGCTGCGGATCCTCTTCGGCCACCACCTCTGACTTGGGAACTGCAGCCTTCTTCTTCTTCTTGGCCGGCAGAATCAACTCGTCTTATCATCATAACGAAGGGGTGGAGGGAGAAAAACTCTTTGTATTGGCATGGTTGTTTTTGTGTGCTCAGTGTACCTTCCTGCTGGATGGGCTCAGCATTGGTTGGTGGGGTAGCATCACTAACACTGCTGGGGGCAGGAGGGGGTGGAGCTTGCTGCTCCGTGGCTGGTTTCACATCTCCAGTTGTCACGTCAAGGAGCGGCTTCTTCTTCTTCTTCTTCTTCTTACCCAACTCCAGTTGGAGCTGCAGTGGTGCATTACCCCCTCTAGTCACGTGCCAGGTTACACGTACGTATATGCGTATCCCCACAGTCACGTGCAACGGCAGTCAAATCTGACTTACGGCCAGATCTTCGTCTTCTTCCATGATACACCAGCTCACTAACAGAAACACGTATAGTCCTGGGCAAAAGGTCACTCTCTCTCCTCAGTATTGCGTCATTCTTTCTCCACGAGATCTCTATTTCCAAATAACGCGCATCAAACAATATTATCTAATTGGAGCGCACCAACAAAACGTGTTCAGACGACATGACTTCCTCGTTTCTGCAGCCGCGGGGGCCTGGTGAAGATCGCGAAACTCACACGTTCCGCGGCGGAGGGAGATCTCGGGCGGCAGGGTCAGTGAACCTTGAGAGGCAGGCAGAAGGAAGCGAGGGGGCCGGCACAGTTCTCTCCTACAATCCTCATATCAACCTGACGCTTACCCAGCAGCGTCAGCGCCTCCCCATCTTCAAGGTGAGAGTAACAGAGCCGTACATCACCAGTAAACGTCCGTAACTTCCAGACATCGAAGTATGTAGAATGTAGCTTTAGTGTAAATTTTCAAGTCGTTTTCTTTTTGCTGGTTTTTGCTAGTATCGCAGTCAGATTATGTATCTGACAGAGAAGTACAGGACTGTTGTCATCATTGGAGAGACTGGCTCGGGCAAAACCACTCAGGTCAGGGGCTCACCCCTCCTCTCGTTCACGTTTCAGTTCTCCCGTTCCAGATTCCACAGTATCTCCACGAGGCCAACTGGACTGGGAATGGGTACGTGGTCGGGATAACTCAGCCGCGGAGAGTAGCTGCAACAACTGTGAGTCCCTCCCTCCCTACCTACCTCCCTCTCTTAGTCTGTCTGTCTGTCTGTGTGTGTCGTCAGGTTGCCTCGAGAGTTGCTGATGAAAGAGGCGCGATGCTCGGACGTGAGGTACACGGAAAACCTTCCTTATAATTATGCATTACATATACATGTAGCAAAGAAGACAATTGAAACAGATTGAAAATTGATCCTTTTCTACACCGGGACTCTCATTCACTACTTTCCCTCTGTTGTTCCTCTCTTGTTAGGTTGGGTACTCAATTCGTTTCGACAGCTGTTGCGACCCAAAACAAACCAGAATCAAGGTATGCTTCTTAACAATTTGCTTTTGTTCTCCTGTGACCACATTGTGGCCGGCTCCGTCTGTCTGTAGTTCCTGACCGATGGAATGCTCGTCAGGGAGATGATGAAAGACCCTCTTCTCAAGGACTACAGGTCTGGTGGTGACTGTTGTTAATTTAACCCCTCTCTCACCACCTCTCTATGTAGTGTTATGATACTGGACGAGGCACACGAGAGGACGCTGCACACTGACATCATAGTTGGCCTCCTCCGTAAGGTATATACACGTGTGTGTACGTGTCTCTGTGTGTGTGTGTTGATTGGTAAGGTGATATCCTCAGATTATGAAGAAGCGGGACGACCTTCGACTCATTGTCTCGTCTGCTACACTCGATGCAGAGGTTCGTACATAAGTATATTATACCAATTAAGCCGCACTTTGAGAATCCCTCTTCCCACTCTCTCTCTGCCGTGGTAGTTGTTCAAGAATTTCTTTGAGACAAATCCGACTCGTGATTCATCCAGAGACACCGCAGTCATTCTGACGGTAGAGGGAAGAGTGTTTTCTGTTCAACCTCGCTACGTCAAGAGGTCAGGGTTCGCAATCGGATGTACCGAACACCCCTTCTTCCCTCCCTGGACTTGTCTCAAATAGACCGGTGGCAAACTATGTGACTAGTACGGTGGAGACGGTCCTGGCTCTTCACCGAGAGGAACGGAATGGAGACGTGCTGGCATTCCTGACGGGGCAGGAGGAAGTCGACACGGCTGTCGCTCACCTCGGGTGGGTGTGGCCAAGGGTGTGGCTGCTCTAATTAATGTACGTCTGTGTGCTTGAGAAGCATTGTGTTTGTGTTTTCTATAGGGAGCATGCAAGTCGGAGTAATAAAGGTATGCAGTTGATGGCAGTGCCTTTATATGGAGGTCTTCCTTATGGTGACCAGGTAAACATACCTGATTAGATCATAATAGTACACCAATTGATTAGTAATGCCCTCTGCACGCAGCTGAAGGTATTCCAGCGAGCTCCACCCAACACAAGAAAGGTATGTAGCTGTGGATTCCCTCGTTGTGTAACTTCCTCTTCGTTATTGACTTCGTAACGACTTCCTTCAGGTTGTCGTGGCAACCAACATTGCTGAGACATCGGTCACCTTGCCGGGAATTGTTTTCGGTGAGCAGCCTCACAAATGGCACACCCTCACTCCTCCACCCCTCTCCCATCCCTCATGCCTGCCTCCCTACACTCACTACACGGAGCAGTGGTTGATTGTGGATTTGTAAAACTTCGCACATTCTCCCTGACAACCTATCTGGGTAAGCCCCTCTAATCTGTAAACTCACGAAATCATATTGTGGGGTGTCTCATGTGTTTAAAACCAGAATCCCTGATGGTAGTTCCTGTCTCGCAGTCCTCGGCCGTCCAAAGAGCTGGAAGAGCAGGGAGGGTTCGTACGGGCAAAGTCTTTCGCCTCTACACTGGTATATTACATACACTTCTCTTCGTGGATTATTGAGCTTCTCTTCTCTGGTGTGTAGAGGACTCGTATGAGAAACTGGAGCAGACGACGGTTCCAGAGATGCAGAGAAGCAACTTGGCTCCTGTCATTCTCCAGTTGAAGGCTCTCGGAGTTGATAACGTTCTCCGGTTCCATTTTCTCTCCGTGAGCTTCCTTTTCCTCTCTTTGTCACCCACCGTCGCCATTTCTCCTCTATATCTATGTAGCCACCGCCAGCTGACTCTATGCTGCATGCTCTGGAACTGCTGTATGCATTGGGAGGTATGAAAACAACAAATCACAGTTAATAATTAATTATGGTTCTCGATTGTTTATCGCAGCATTGGATGATGATTGTCAGTTGACTCAGCCTCTGGGGCACAACATGGCTGAGTTTCCTCTCCCACCAATGTTTGCCAGAATGCTGCTCACCTCTGGTTAGTGTAAATAGTACCTTACAAAACCACTGTTATATCCACAAGTGCTGAGGTATGCCATGTGTCTATTAACTGATGTGGATTCTAACTATCAGTGGTGCTAATTATGAAGGATTCCCCAACAATCCCATGTGGTCTAGTGGTTAGGATCCGGCGCTCTCACCGCCGTGGCCGGGGTTCGATTCCCCGCATGGGAGCTTTTTTATTCTTTCTTATTCCCAGACACATTCGGTTGCTCAGACGAGGCAGTCACTATAACAGCCATGTTGCAGGTCCACCATGTTTTTAACCAGACCTCCAGACAAAAGGCATCTGCTGTAAGTTTATTCTCCATCTCTCACTACTTCCGAGTGAACCAAGTAAGTATAGGAAGCAGCTAGGAGAAAGTTCTGTGTGTACGAGGGAGATCACATGACTCTGCTGAATGTCTACAAGGCTTTTATTAGAGTGAGCTCCCACACCTCCACTGCATACGTTCACTGATATGGAACCCATCTGTATGCAGTTCAATAAGGATCCGAGATGGTGCCAACAGCACTTTCTCAATTACAAAGGTCACTTACAACTATGGATGTGTTGACTTTGTTGCGAGTCTGTCTATTCATTGTGTGTGTGCGTGTGCGTGTGTGCGTGCGTGCGTGTGTGTGTGTGTGTGTGTGTGTGACGTGACGCCAACTCTAGGACTTTGTCATGCCGTCAGCATTCGGGAGCAGCTGATAAAACTGCTAAAGAGGTTCAAAATTCCCCTTACTTCTTGCGAAGGTGAACGAACCCTCGTGAGATAGGTCTCACATGTATCACCGCCAGTTGTAATGGTGCCAACTCAACCTGTGCAGGTGATCCTGAGCCAGTCCAGAGGTGTATTGTGTCCGGGTTCTTCCCGAATGCTGCTCGACTCCACTACACTGGGTCATACCGCACCGTGCGAGGTGACCACACCCTTCTCATTCACCCTTCATCCATTCTCCACTCCGAGCGATCCCCACCATGGTATATACATTCGCCATAAACATCCATACTATCGTGACCACTACATATATTGTGTAGGGTGGTGTTCAATGAGGTAATAAACATCCATCTAGGACAACTACATTAGGTGAGGTGGTGTTCAATGAGGTAATAACATCCGCTACTATCGTGACACTACATATGTGTAGGGGTGTGTATAATGAGGTAAATAAACATCCATACTATCGTGACCACTACATATATTGTGTAGGGTGGTGTTCAAGAGGGTAATAAACATCCATACTATCGTGACCACTACATATATGTGTAGGGTGGTGTTCAATGAGTAATAAACATCCATACTATCGGTGACCACTACATATATTGTGTAGGGTGGTGTTCAATGAGGTAATAAACATCCATACTATCGTGACCAACTACATATAATTGTGTAGGGTGGTGTTCAATGAGGTAATAAACATCCATACTATCGTGACCACTACATATATTGTGTAGGGTGGTGTTCAATGAGGTAATAAACATCCATACTATCGTGACCACTACATATATTGTGTAGGGTGGTGTTCAATGAGGTAATAAACATCCATACTATCGTGACCACTACATATATGTGTAGGGTGGTGTTCAATGAGGTAATAAACATCCATACTATCGTGACACTACATATATTGTGTAGGGTGGTGTTCATGAGGTAATAAACATCCATACTATCGTGACCACTACATATATTGTGTAGGGTGGTGTCATGAGGTAATAAACATCCATACTATCGTGACCACTACATATATTGTGTAGGGTGGTGTTCAATGAGGTAATAAACATCCATACTATCGTGACCACTACATATATTGTGTAGGGTGGTGTTCAATGAGGTAATAAACATCCATACTATCGTGACCACTACATATATTGTGTAGGGTGGTGTTCAATGAGGTAATAAACATCCATACTATCGTGACCACTACTATATTGTGTAGGGTGGTGTTCAATGAGGGTAATAAACATCCATACTATCGTGACCACTACATATTGTGTAGGGTGGTGTTCAATGAGGTAATAAACATCCATACTATCGTGACCACTACATATATTGTGTAGGGTGGTGTTCAATGAGGTAATAAACATCCATACTATCGTGACCACTACATATATTGTGTAGGGTGGTGTTCAATGAGGTAATAAACATCCATACTATCGTGACCACTACATATATTGTGTAGGGTGGTGTTCAATGAGGTAATACACATCCATACTATCGTGACCACTACATATATTGTGTAGGGTGGTGTTCAATGAGGTAATAAACATCCATACTATCGTGACCACTACATATATTGTGTAGGGTGGTGTTCAATGAGGTAATAAACATCCATACTATCGTGACCACTACATATATTGTGTAGGGTGGTGTTCAATGAGGTAATAAACATCCATACTATCGTGACCACTACATATATTGTGTAGGGTGGTGGTTCAATGAGGTATAAACATCCATACTATCGTGACCACTACATATATTGTGTAGGGTGGTGTTCAATGAGGTAATAACATCCATACTATCGTGACCACTACATATATTGTGTAGGGTGGTGTTCAATGAAGTAATACAGACATCAAAACAGTACATGAGAGATGTGACTGTGGTAAGCCATGCTCTTGTTGGCAAAATGAGTTGACTCATTAAGTGTGTTATTCTTCAGATAAAGCCAGGGTGGCTCTACGAGTTAGCTCCACACTTCTACGAATATGGCACAGTGAGTTTCCTAGCTGCTTGCCATGGCACTGTGTTGAGGAGTGTGTATTGCTCTTCCAGGAAAGAGAACTTGCAGAAGCTAAACGGAGAAGAACAGATGCTAGCTAGCTATAGCAATGGTCTTCGTTTTTAGCGCATGCTGTTACATATGTCAAGCGGTTCTGATACAAACGCATGCGCGAATCCTGGTGCGAAGATGGCTGCTCCGAAAGCCCGCTTTGAACGACTCTTTCGAGCAGCCTGTGCAAAACGTCGCAGTGCCGTCATAGGAATGGTTCATGTTCAGGCTCTCCCAGGTACGTACGTTGCTATTCTGCAGAAGCGCGGGATGGACCAGGTAAAAAACATTTGTGCGCATGCGCATTCCACACCAAAGGCACACCAAAGAGTGGTCTGGAAGTGGCGGAATTGGTCGACCAGGCAGTGAAGGAGGCCAGACTGTACCGGGAACATGGTCTGGATGGAGTAATTGTCGAGAACATGCACGACACACCCTACATCAGTAGTGTGGGGCCAGAGGTTACAGCATGCATGACAAGGGTGTGTTGGGAAGTAAGGCAGGCCATGGGGGGAGATCTTCCACTTGGTGTTCAGATACTCTCAGGCAAGCCAGCTGCTACCTCTCTTTCAAATACTGACTCCACCCCTACCCCTTTCAGAGCAGGAGCTAATAGGGAGGCGCTGGCTGTTGTGAAGGCAGCTGGGGCAGACTTTGTGAGGGCCGAGGGGTTTGTCTTTTCTCACGTTGGAGACGAGGGTTGGATGGACTCCTGTGCAGGGGACCTGCTGAGGTATCGCAAGAACATTGGAGCTGACAACGTCTTAGTTTTCACCGACATAAAAAAGAAGCACAGGTATATAATTCTTGCTTAATGCCCTAATGCAAAAACACCCCTGCAAAATGTCCTTGGTTGAATAGCTGAGTGTTTGGGAATCTCTGGGAATGGATCTTCTTACTTGCAATTCGCTACCTTTTTGTACTGTGGTCTAATCTTCATCTCCTTACAGTGTATATAATATACACATGCATCCTGTAATCACAACACTTCCGGCATATATATCTCTCTGCAAACAGATCATGTTGTGGGGGATGAGTATATACCTGTAAAGATACACGGTACCTGGGAAGACCACAATGGGGCTACAATGTTTGTACAGGATGACCCTTGTGGGCTACCTGAGACAGCCGGTTCGGCTGCTCTGGAACATTGTAACATCTCCTGTCTGGATCACCGGCTCTTTGTCTCTCTACAGCTCGCATGCAGTCACCTCTGATCTCTCCATATCGGAGGTTGCTAGAGCTGCAGAGTTTTTCTTGAGCGACGGTGTTATTGTCACTGGGCAATCGACAGGCTGTCCGGCAAGTCGGCGAGAGGTCACGGAGGTCAAGGAATCAACGTCACTCCCACTGTTGGTTGGTTCAGGAGTCACCGTGGAGAATTTGGACGGCTATTCTGGAGTTGCTGATGGTATGATCATTGGATCTTGGTTCAAGGAACACGGGCAGTGGTTTAACCCTCTTGATCCACACCGAATTTCAACCTTTATGGAAACGCTTCTCTCTAGGGTGGTCTAAATTTAGCAATGTGGGTGACGTGTCATTGCCCATTATTCATACCCCTCCTCCCTCTCATATTTTGACTGGTATTGCATCATGCTAGTGTCTGGGATTCCATTCTATGTGACCAATACTTTATCAATGAAACAGAGAATTTGCAGTGTCAGATAACTGTACACAGCAGGTGTTTATAAGTCAAAGATTGTTTGGGCAATGTCAATGTGAGACAGCCTTAGAGCCAATAATGAATGCAACAAGCAGCAAAGAGGTAGTATACACGAAAACACATGTTGTTATGTAGCAATTTGTATTAGTGTGGAGCCTGCCTGCTGCATGCCTAGCAGTGCAGCGAGCTGAGGGTGCACATGATATTCACATGCACAATAACTCTAAGTCCATATTATATATACACGGTTATGCAGTGACTGTGTGTGGAGAGATATGCGTGGTTGAGATTCACTGGAATGAATACAGATACTCTACCAGAATCACGAGCATACCGTACACCCGGGGCACTGCCTTGCTAGCACTTTTTTTGCCCTGACTGCATGCACAGATGAATGTATTTGCTAAAAAGAAGCTTTGTGTTAGGGTATCCAATAACTAATTCTCAGTGTACAAAGGGACACCTATATACACTCACGTCTCTTCTCCATACATGCAAGCTGAAAGTAATACTTCCGACCACATTTTAAAAGTAAAAAGCATTACAGTACATAAACATACACGTCTAAAAATAGCTGGTGAGAGTGCTAATAGATAACCTGATGACTCTGAGGATAAAAATAGTATATAGTGAACTAAAAAGCTAGGAAAATATAATACGAAAGAGAGAGAGAGCTAGACTTGTGAGACACAACTAATGTATAATTAGTGTACTAAGAGGCACATTGGCAGCTGGACGAGTTCCCATATTATGTGAGCTAGCATCTGCGTCGACCGGCCACAAATGAGCACTTCTTCACGCTCATGACCTGCCTACCCCTGGCGTTCCTCTGCCTCGTGTTGTTGTGCCTACGAGCAGCTTTCCTAGTCACTCTCAGTGCGTCAGTCTTAGCTGGCGATTCAGTCTTGTGATTCCTGTTGGAGCCCACAGGGACATGCAGCTGCCGGGCGACCTGGTACCGCTGTCTGTTTCTCAACAGGACCATTTCCCTCGCCTCGGCCCTGGCTCTTCGCTGCTCTCTTTCCCTCTCCTCATCTCCTCCTTCTTCCTCTCTCCCTCCGTGAAGAGAGACCTGGCCGTACACAGACATGGTCGGGTGCTCAATGAGAAGGTTCTCGAGAGAGCGCCCTGCCTCTGCCACAGTCTCGCTCCCAGTGGCTCTGAAGGTGGGGGCTGGGGCGATGATCCAGGAACCATCGGAGCAGACACTCTCTCTGTCACACTCACTCTCCTGACTGGTGGTCTCTGTGTAACACAACGCGGGGACTGGTTAGAGCTTAGCTTTTTCAAATTTGTAAGTGGTCACTAAGGAGTGGAGTGCTCACCACTTCTGCCTTTGTCAGAGGTCTTCTCGGCGCCTGTCGTTATGAGCAGCCACTCGTCTTCTTCCTCGCGGGTCGAGTGCTCAACCTGTGCCGCCTCCACGGCGCTCTGGGCGTCCGTCTCTTCTTGGGCTCCCCAGACCAAGTTCGTCAATAGGGAAAACATTTTTCTGATCCGCTTGAAAGTGAAGAGCTAAAAGCCGCGGGCTGTACTTGTATTAGCTATGATACTAGAAAGTCAAAATGGATAGCTATCTTCTTCGCTAATGCTATGGTGTTGTTTTGCGAGAGCTGAAGGTCAAAACCTGCTGTAATTCCTCTGGCCGCCGCCCACCCTTCATTGTTTACATTCCAGAGTACGGCTGATGCAAGTTGTATCCACTGATTAGCCAACTGACCAATCAAATCCGTTCCCGGGGTAATGTGACGAATGCGCATGCGTATTATCATTCCGCGGGTAAACTCAAAAATCTTACCGCGGAAAGTTAGACCACTCCCCCCTTTTAGCACACCTGATCGCCGCTTTTTTCAACAAGCTGGTTCTCCTCAAAAGCTCGCTCTCAGTCCAGTTCTCACCTCAGACGTGAATCGTACTTCTCCCGGTCTCGATCATCTTACCGCTGAAACCTCTCCTTATCTCTCGTGACGTGTCCTTGTTGAACAGAGATGGAAGTACCGACGAGACGTCGAACAACCACCAGGGTCGTCTTGTCTAGGAGACGGCCTAGGTCTACGTCAGAGGTAAGACTCTCTCTCTCTATCTCACGTAGAACGAGGTCTTTTTCCCAGCCTGCACCTGCTGATAGCCGTTCTGTTCGGAGTGACCGGCGGGCGCAGTGTGACTTTACTCTTTCCCCGCAGGAGCAGTCGAGAAAGAAGCGCCACACAGGACAAGCAAAGAAGGAAAACGTCTTGGCTCTCAGTGTGAGTTGCTCTCGTTCTGTGTGCGTGGCCGTGAGCCTAACTTGGCGCCCATTTTTACCATCCACGCTCTCGTGGGTGCTCCATTTTTCCCGCCACTCTTTCCCGCCATTCATCATTGCGCTATGCATGATGAATGTATAGTCGCAGAAACACGCCTTGTGTTGACACTCGCGCGCTTTTTCGACATCTCACTAGTCGACAAGCACGGTCTCCCTAGTCTCCGTGGAGAGAACCGAAGCGCCTGACCCCTGCCTCGTCTCCCCTCTCGCTCACAGCTTCGTCACCAGCAGACCTCGGTCAAGATGCAGGACGTCAGAATCGGCCTCCAGCGGATCCCACCGACCTCGCTCCTGGTGAGCGCCGCCACGACGGCCAAGGAAAACGTCGGGAGCGTCGCCGGGAAGGCGTGGAGCTCCCAGCAGACGTCCGCAGCGGGACAGAGCTCGGAGGGTCCCGCCGCTGAGGCCGCCAGCGAGCTGATGGAGGTCACCCCGCCCGCGTCTCAGCTGGGCGAAGAGGAGGAGGGGGAGGGTGGCGGAAGAGAGACGAGCGGAGCGGGTGGTCCTCTTCCGCAGTTGAGTTGGGCCAACCCGAGGGAGCTTTGGACAGAGATGCGAGCCAAGGACGTGTGTCAGACTGCGCCAGAGGAGGAACTGCAGAGCCGACATCCAGGAATTCTCCCCACAATGAGGACCATCCTCTTCGACTGGCTCATGGAGGTGGGTGTGGTCACGTGCCATCGTGTGCGAGTGGAGACCTGTGACGAGTGCAGGGGGGGAGGAAGGGAGGGTGTGTACATTGGGAAAAGGGGTGTGTGCCCTAAGAGATGTATTCATCTTATGTTGTATACATATTGTCTGCCTCTTGTGCCAAACTCACCTGCAGTCAGAACCACTGTGTGATGTGCAGCACACACACACACCAGTGGCAAGTGTGGTTCAATAAGCGTGGCACTCTCTATACACTCTCATGGTTAGATAACCTCTCTGTGTGTTTGGTGGGAGTGTGCTGCCAAATCAGTCCCTTCCCTTCCTCCACATTTCATCCTCACTACCAATAGAACACCCTCCTCACAGACCTTCATACTCAGATACTATCGTATATACACTCATTTTATATAAAGTTTACCAACATCAATTGACTGTATATAGACATATATAAAACAATGTGTGGTGTGTTCCATAGGTGTGTGAGGAGTATAAACTGCACAGGGAGACGTACTACTTGACAGTCGACCTCCACGATCGGTTCCTGGACTCTTGGAGGGAGATACAGAAAGAGCACCTACAGGCCATCGGGATAACTTGCCTCTTCATCGCCTCAAAAATAGAGGTTTGGACACATATATACACTCACTCTGGAACATACCCTCTTCTTTCTGATATGTACACTCTGGTTGGTCTAGTTTTGACTGGCACCCACTCCCTCTTTCCCTCCCTCTCCCAAAAACCTCTAATTTTCCTTCTCACCTCTGAAATACTCTGCATCACTGACATTCTAGTGGTCAGCCCACCATGCCAACTGCTGGAGTGCCCACTACGTGCTACGTGATGCCCGTGAATAGTACTTATTTCCTGTCCCACTCTTCCACAGGAGATCTACCCGCCGAAAGTGACAGAGTTTGCCTTTGTGACAGACGGTGCTTGCTGCGTAGCTGACATTCTGGACATGGAACTTCTCATATGCAAAGTATATACGCTCCTTTCGTTTCTCTTTTATCTTATCTCTTTGACTCTCTTTTGTTGACGATTTCCACCTTTCGTTGGGTCTCAAAACTATCTTTATCTCTCCTTCTCTTTCTCCTCATAGGCCCTCAACTGGAGGCTCAACCATTACATCGTTACAGTCAACACATGGGCAAATGCCTACATGCAGATCAGCAGCCATCGTCTGAGACCACCAGGGGTCAAAACCAGAGAGTTTGAGTACCCAGCCTATTCCCCTCTAGAATTCATCCGGGTTATCCAGGTTAAAGTGCACTATAGAACCTGAAGCATACTCTAAATGGTGCCCATCGCTCTTCCTCTAGTTGTTGGATATGTGTACATTGGATCTGTCCAGTCGGACATTTGGTACCAGTGTCCTCGCTGCCTCGGCCCTCTACCTGGCCTCAGAGAGAAGCCGACAGCATTTTACTGCCATAACAGGTGTGCTGCTGTGCCTCGGCTATCTTCCCCCCTCTTCCTTGTTTGTCTTAGAGTGTGGGGCGCGAGAGTAATGTGATGGTGTTGTACAGGTCTGTTGCTGGAGGAGGTGAACGATTGTGTTCAGTGGATGTACCCGTTTGCTCTGGTCATTTCAAGAGATGGTCCTGTAGCCCAGAGAGCATTTCCAGGGGTGAGCTTTGTTTATGAGATCGGGGAACATGTGCCCAACTCTCTCCCCCCTCTCTCCTTAGGTTACTCCTCAAGATCTCCACAATATTCAGACTCATTCAGTCACAATAGCAATGCTGGTGAGTAGCAATAGTACCGAGCACACGCAGCGTTCAACCCAAGTCCATAAGCATCTTCTAAAGCTTTCTGTGGGATATGCTTCTAATCAAATGACTATATATACCCTTGGTCGGTATAACTTGACTTTCTTCTCTCTCTACCTCTAGGACGATGCATTAGAACTAAGACACTCACAGTTATCTGCGGCAGCTGTCCCGGGCATGGTCCATCCAGACTGTTCCGTGTTGCTCACCCCTCCTCGCAGCGAGCGACGATGTCTAGCTCCAATTAATGCCTCCTCCACCTACTAGCAATATTTCCCCGCCCTCTCAGAGTGTGGGTTTTAATCCGTTTCACTTGCTGTTTGCGTGCAGTTAGCCTTTCTTTTCTCCTTTGTGAATTTTGTACCATTTGTTTCTGTATATTTAGTTTTCGTACCTTTTCCCTTCCTTACCCATTGTTGAATTCTGCACCATTTCGTTTTTTTTATAATTTTTTTTTAGACCTGCTCGTTCACGACCCCACCAGGCAGGTGTTGTGGTTTTGTGTTTCGTGTTCTTTGTCATTTCACTGTACTATAACTTTCTCTCGAAATATTGTATTAAATTATTCTGTGAAACAGTGTTGTGTGTAAAAAGAGAGAGAGCAAAAGTACACTCCCGCGTGCTATTCTTTCGAGGTGAAGCCTTTGCTCATTTGAAAAATACTGCTGACGGCATTATTGAAAGTGCTGCAAAGTGTGTATAATATAATTATGCAAGAGATAGTAACAATAATTGATATACAATTACCGTGAAGTGATTTTCTGTCCTGGAGTGTAAAAAGGGTTGCATAACATGTCTGCATATGCCACATGCAGATTCTTGAACAACTGTAGTACAAAACAAGTATCTGTAAGTTGTGCTCTATTTCATATAGTGCCCCCCAAACAGTTGGAGTCAGAGTCACACACTGTGCTGACCCGCCAGTGGTACCACCCACCATCTTCATTTCAGTGTCTCTGGACTGGCTGGTTGTGTTCTCTACCACCAGAATAAACTTCACACGTGTGTTTGTAGCGTAGCCATACCTGCAGCGGTTCCCCTCTCTTACCACCACAATACAGAGTAGCTATTGGCTTACACTTTGTACTGTTCTGAAGGGTAGAGGAGACCCAAATAGTGCTCTCTTGGGTCCTGGCCTGCTTTTGGAGTCCCCAGCGTCGAGACTGCGAGATTAACAAGGTGGGCGGTGAGGTTTTCATGACTACTTGCTCGAAGGCTCACCTTTCTCTTCCACTACGTCGATGGAAGCGTGGACAAGGTACTGGAACTGTAGGTCTGCCTCGTTTTGAGGGTTCACGGAGCGGAGGTAGAGCGGAAAGTTCTGTGCAGCAACGAGAGGGTTACAGTGACTTTTTACAAGGCCTACGGAGGCTTACCTGCTTGGATATAACTGCCACGCAAACCGCTGCCATTTTTGTTGGTGCGCTCTAATAAGAGTTTCAGCCCCACCCACGTGGAGTAAAGACGACGTCACTGCTCGAAACATGGCGCAGGCGGCGAGAAGTAGTCGACCCGCTGGCCTGCCTGTGTCGGTGGTCGAGGACCACGACGAGGCTCTGCAAGTGATCTACAGAGCCATTGGGAGCAAAAGACTACCTCTGAACGGGAACACTCTCGTACATTTTGACGCTCACCCCGACCTTCTCTCTCCAAGCCTACAGGTATATTTATAGCTAGGAGATCAGTGTCAAAATTACACACTGGCGCATTTCGTTCAATTTCGGTGTATATTTGGGTATGATAATTTCCTTGTTTACCCCAATACAGGTAGACCCCACAGTTTCAATGCTACTGTAATGCTATTCTGTTAGGCAGATGAGTTCTCGGACAAGGAGAAGCTCTTTGCGTACACGAGCATCGCTGAGTGGATTATTCCCGCCGTGTACATGGGTCACGTTGACTGCGTGGTGTGGCTGAAGCCTCCCTGGAGCCTGCAGGCGAGGGACGGGCAGTACTCCCTGGTGGTCGGCAGGGAGCAAAAGAGTGGATATGTCAGGTCTTTATCCACTGACGTGCACGTGTGTATGGTCCATGAGCTCGTCTCAGTAGCTCAGGTGATGTGAAAAAAAATCTCTTTTCCAGAGTCGCTACTCCGCTGGTTTACTTTATCTCCGGCCAGCTGTTTGCTCCCTCTGACGCACTCACAAACATCCGAACTGTCCCACTCCACGTTCTGACTCTCCCAGTTCTAGAGGAATCATCTCCGACCGATCCCTCATTCCCTCTACCTCCTCCCTCCCACCCCCTGCTGGCTACAGCAGAGAGTGAACTAAACAGACTGCTCTCCTCACAAAGTCAGCCATGGATTCTCGATGTTGACCTTGACTTCTTCTCCACAGCAAATCCCTTCAGAGATGACTTCTCTCCAGTCAGAACTTTTCCCTACAATACTTTTTTTTCATTTGCAGCTGCACAATTGTCACTTTTAGAGAGATTATTTGTTGCTATTCAGGAAGAGTATTCCTTTTTGGAGAAGCTTTACAGATACGACGAACCACTGGACGACTCGATAAAAGTTGGTATACTGCAAGAAAGTTCACTTCCCCTCACCCTCTTTGCGTGTGTGTCTTGTCCAGATAGTAGGTGAGAGTGTGAGGAGGAGAGAGGAGCAGGTCGACTCACTGAAGAGGCTCTGGATGGCTGCAAACGAGGGGGCGGAGCTTACGGAAGTGCACCTCACTCTCACCGATCGGTGAGTAAGACAATCATAACGCCAGCGAACCCACCTACGGAATGTCGGAATCCTTTAGGAAGATGGTGTTTGATTTGAGAAGGAAGATTGGAACAGTGTGTGGTGCATCTCTAATGAAGGCTGAAGATGTGGGTAAAACCCCTTACTACTCTCGTTAGCTGATGCACCTCCCAACCCTTTCTCCGTAAAGGTTTTTTCTTGCTCTAGGTGTTTGGTTGTCCTCCCACAGATACATGAGGCTGGAATGATGAGTGACCTGCCTCACCATCCAGCCAGTGAGCCTGAGTGGGCGGGGCTGATGTCCGCCACCTCTCACCTCCTCCGTGCCGTGTTCTCAACCAGTAGACCTTCTCTTGTCACCATTGCCAGGTTGGTGATCATCCATATGCCAACATGTAACACTGTGGAATTTGTGGTATTCAGTCACCATGTTTGCGAATATTTCAGGCAAGCGTAAGACCATGTGCACTGCATACTCTGGCTCAATTCGAGGCATTCAGGGCGGTTGGCTGCCCTCTCATTTTCTTACTAAAAATACAGGACACCACCATTCTATACACAGATGTGGGTGTGGGTATATATCAAAAACTCACATATGGTAGAGGGGTTTTTAGAACTCACTTTTTACATACAAAGGTCATCCGATGATGGATATACACCACCTGGGCATGTTGATCAGTTGCAAGACAAGCTAGTGGGTGTGATCAACAGACTTTGCAACGGACAGATACACGTACAGCGCCACTACTGAGGGGTTCATGTCGCAGAGTCAAAATCTAACTCCTTATTGACGTTTTGGCAGCATTCGCGGGTTTTGCATTAGCAATTATCATAATCAAATAATAATAATAATAATAATAGATGAGAGAGACTTTTGTCTGGCATTCATTACATGATAGAAATACAAAAATAATGATAAGAAAACGCTGGCGGATGGAGATGATCAAATATGTCAGAATTTTGATTTTGATTCTTATGATTGTAATAGTTAATAATGTGTAGGGACATGCGGCTATTTTTTGCTTTGATTTTAACGTAACCTATAAGTCAACATGGTTGGGTGTTGCACACAACACACAGGGTAGACGGAATGAACACAATACAAACAAACAACAACAACAGCGAAATTGTTTGTTGTTTACGTTTACGTTGTTTGTTGTGAAGAGTTCAAGTCCGCGGTTAACACGACGGAGGAGCAGCAAGTGTCTTCGTTGGCTGCGGGATTGTTGCAGTAGACAGCATTGATGCTGTACTCGCCAGCGACCGAGTACTGCCGCGACGTGTGGAGATTACTGAGATGGGTTTTTGTGCCGGATTCACTCGCTGCATCGCCCCAGTTTATTCCATAACTGCAGAAGAGAGGTGGGGGAGGGGGGGGTTAAGTACAGAACTAAAAATTTGCGTAATTGTTTTTTTCAATCTGTGAAGTGTAGTAATTACTGTATTCTGTGAGAGCCTTTTCTCTGCAACTTGCAAACACGATTTGGGCTATTCGTTAGTCCCAGTGTTGCATGAGCAAAGATTCAGATCCCTGGCTATTATTATAGCGATACCTGAATCCCTCGTTGAGTGAGCAGTTGCCAGGATTGACGCTGAGGTGAAGATGGACCAGTAGATCTCTCTCGATGGAGATGGTGGTCAGGTTGGACGCTATCTGAGGACAGCACTTTCTCTGGGCTACACAAACACAAACACAAACAGGGAGGAAGGGAGAAAGAGTGATGGGCGGAGGGAGGTAAAAAGCGGTTGTTAGGACACCCATAGTACTTTAAACCACACAAGGCATTTTGCATGAGCTTATGTCTGATTATGGGGGGACAGAAACAAAAGGAGTGTTTGAGTCCCGGCTGTGGCTCCTGACCTGTTTCGATAAAGAAGGGAAAGACCTTCATGATAGACTCGCCAAACCCATCTTCAGCCACCAGGACGAAGGCGTGGGTCCCGGACCCAGCGGCGCCGTGTTGAATTCAAACAGTCTGTCACAGGAGATGGCGGGGAGTCTGGAGACCTGGCAGAGCGAGGTGACTGCTCTGCTGCAGTCGTGGGTGGCTCTGAGGATGCCCCTCTCGTCAGGGCCTACTAATGACAGGTTGCAGTGGAGGGACTCGGTGGCTGCGGGGGTAAGAAGAAGAAGACAATAGGGAGTCACATGGTGTGCAGCATTAAGACTCGTGATCACTGGCTGCACGAACACGAGGTAAGACTGAGAGACGGTCACAAATACTGGTGGGTGTGAATTTTGTGAGGGAGAGGCAAGTGTAAAGTGTTGAAGGAGGACATGGCCTGTGCAATAAGAGAGAGAGTGTGTGTGGGTAAAGGGGACGTACGGGGAGGAGCCAAGGGAGGTTCGGCCAAGTTAAACTTGACCGTCTCGGAAGTGGAGTAGGCGTCGTCGTCCATGCAGGTCAATCTCAGACTGTGCGGTCCAGTGCCCAGTTCATCTGGAGAGGCTGAGTACTCACCGCGACCTGTCGTCCGGTTGAAACCTGCAGAGCATGAACCAAGACATCTCTCGGAATAGAACACTCGGTATCTCATAGGATTTAACTAAGAGTTTTCAGAGCGAGAATGCTATATATACTGTGACCACTGACAAAGGATTTCAGTTAAAAAGTCAAACTCCGAAAAAGGACACCTCTACTTAAGATTTTTCATGCTGTAAAAGAGTGTTTGGTTGACTCACAGAGGATCCCAGGGCCCTGGGAGTCAATCTGGCAGATACAGGTGACGTCGTTTCTGGTGGGTCTGAAACAGATGCGCAGTACTCCATCGGGATCTGGCAGCTTTGCCCACACCTCAATCATGACAGGCCCTGAGCGAGGGAGGAGAGAGGAGAGATGATTACAAGTCTGTGATACAGATGGGTTTCAAGGCTAATTAAGTTAAACCCTGTAATTGTGCCACTAATGAGCCAAACCGCAGACGTACCCGGCGCCGCAGTTGTTGGCGGGGAGATTGTGGGGTCATCAATTTTCAGAACCGAGGCAGCTGCCTTGCCATTGCTGTCGGTTGCCAAGACGATGAAAACGTCTTCTCTCACCCCGGGAGCCCTCGGCAGTATCCGGTATGGACTGGTACCTGGGTGGAACGGGAGAATGGCAGAATTGAAGTGTGAAAGTATGGAAGTTTGGGAGAATCGAAGAACGAAAAGTCTTGAAGTATGCTTGAATGAAGTACGAAAGTATTGGAATATGGGAGAATTGAAGCATGAGTATATGGAAGTATACTCACATCTCTGGAAGGGGGCATCTCCAGTGGAGCACTGAAATTCAACGTCAACTCTGTTAGCTGCGAACGTGACGAGGACGCTGGCGTTAGGTGCAATAGACTGCTGGATGGTGGAGACGTCCAGCCTGCCCGACGAGGGGTTGACTTGGAACCACAGTAGTAGAGAGGCTTCCTGGTCTCCATTCCGGCCCAGAACGAGGATCGAGTATCGGCCCGGGGTCGGGGTGTTCACGTGGTACGGACTGGTACCTGGTGACATACAGGCAGAGGTGTGTGGAGGAGGAAGAGGAGGGGGCGTACAGGCAGAGGTGTGTGGAGGAGGAAGAGGAGGGGGCGTACAGGCAGAGGTGTGTGGAGGAGGGAGAGGAGGGGGCGTACAGGCAGAGGTGGTGGAGGAGGAAGAGGAGGGGGCGTACAGGCAGAGGTGTGTGGAGGAGGAAGAGGAGGGGGGCGTACAGGCAGAGGTGTGTGGAGGAGGAAGAGGAGGGGGCGTACAGGCAGAGGTGTGTGGAGGAGGAAGAGGAGGTACAGGCAGAGGTGTGGAGGAGGAAGAGGAGGGGGCGTACAGGCAGAGGTGTGTGGAGGAGGAAGAGGAGGGGGCGTACAGGCAGAGGTGTGTGGAGGAGGAAGAGGAGGGGGCGTACAGGCAGAGGTGGGGAGGAGGAAGAGGAGGGGGCGTACAGGCAGAGGTGTGTGGAGGAGGAAGAGGAGGGGGCGTACAGGCAGAGGTGTGTGGAGGAGGAAGAGGAGGGGGCGTACAGGCAGAGGTGTGTGGAGGAGGAAGAGGAGGGGGCGTACAGGCAGAGGTGTGTGGAGGAGGAAGAGGAGGGGGCGTACAGGCAGAGGTGTGTGGAGGAGGAAGAGGAGGGGGCGTACAGGCAGAGGTGTGTGGAGGAGGAAGAAGAGGGGGGGGCGTACAGAAGTGAAGGTGAAATAATAATAAAAACAGCGCCAAATTACGAGCTGTGGTTTTACGAAACAAGTTTAAGGATAATTAATATTTGATTGTTCAATTAGTCTCCTGTTGCTATTTGATTAGGTCTATAGGTGGGGTCTCCGTTTTCCAAATAAGGTGCCGCTCGGAATGCTAGCAGACTTCAACACAGTTCACTCCTACTTTGGTTTCATGGTTAACCAATTCCTCCCCACACTGTAGGGATTAACACTTTGCTCACTGGAGTGATTAACCCACTATTCACTAGGGATTAACCTAATATTTACTGTGGGATTAATTAATTAACGCATTCCATACTGAAGGGATGAACCCTTTTCTCACAGGGGTTAATGATCGGGTTCTCGATTCTGTCGGGCATGAGGATGCACTGGTAGGTTGCTAGGCGACGGTTGCTGGAGAAGAAAACGACAGTGTCTCCCCTCATTGACGTCACATGACCACTCATCTCCATGGCAACTGGTACTATAGAGAAGCAGAGACCGTCTCATCAAAACAGTACAACAATAAAGGAAATGGTATAGATTGACAGTGTACCATGAGCTATAGGTGTGAATAATTAACGGTCTTAAGTTGATGGATTGCCTCATTTGATAGTCTGCGATTGGAACTAAACTGCCTGAATGTGTTTAGTAATTAGGGCTGTAATGGTGGACCGACTAGCAGCTGGTGAGGCACAGCCTATCGAGCTACAGTCTGCGATAGTGTAGACAGTGGTAGCAACAGAAGCCTGCAGCAGAGGGCCGGAGTATACACATAGACACAAACAGCTAGTTTGTGTTGTGGGGGTGTTGGCACAAGACAACATCGACTCATGGCATGAAGTCATACTAAAAGATGATTGTGCGTATATTTTACCAGGAGTCGAGGTGGGTGCAAGGTAGGCGGTGACGTATGTTGCAGTTGGAGTTGGAGCTACAACACCACACTGGATAGAGGAGAGAGAGAGAGAGAGAGGGGTTAAAGACTTAGAGGAGAGAGAGAGGGGTTAAAGACTTAGAGGAGAGTTAACTCGAAAGTATCAAAGGGTAAGAGAGAAAGTGGATAAACTGTGGTGCTAACAGGAGACGTGAATAGCAGAGGCCTCAGTTTGGGCAGAGCCCATGCAAATTGGGGGCCCGAGTGAATGCACTCAACCGCCTAACGATTTAAGAGCTACAAATTGCTTTGTCTGCTATGACGAGACCAAACATTCGAATTCCTCTTCTGTCGCCACCCAACAGTACCCCATAAGGATACACGGCATTACTTGGTGTACGTTATGCAGTAGTAGTAGTAGAGGAGTCCTAATCGGATTGGTGAACGGAAAGAGAGAGCCGTCTCGGTAAAGGGAGGGCAAAACTGAATTGAATGTCTTGGGGGGTCAAACAGTCTTAGGTAGTCAACTTAAGGAGTCAAAAATTGAAGGTGTTTTATGATGAGGGGAGACTAACTGAAAAACGTTTGGGTGGTCATATTTTCAGTAAGTAAGGGAGGTATATGCCTGGAGTCATCAATAATTGTGCCTACCTGAGAATGGGTTTGGTTGATAAGACATCGGCAGAGCTCCTGATCAACTGGCTGTTCACAGGAGAGTGTGGCTTCTACTCCGCAGCGACATTCTTCACACACCTCCACAGGCAGCGCCGGGAACAGCCCGTGGGCATTGGCGAAGGCGTTGGCAAACGATAGGATGGTGTTGTAGTCCTCATTGTCCAGGAGCCCGAGAGGCCAGGAGGAGCTCTCGAGTGCTAGAGAGAGCGCCACATAATCGGAGATTGTCTGACCCATGGCATAGGTGAAGCGGACGCTCTGGTTCTGCGACATCTCGTAGCCGCCATCTGGACGGAGGATTGACGCCTTCCGGTACCCGTGGAACCCCAGAACGGTGCTCTCTCTCTGCTCGGAAAGTTGAAGAGAGATAGATACCACAGTGTCGAGGGCAATGTGTCGGGTGTACAGGGTCTGGAGCATTACATCACGAGTAAGATCACTCCTTGTCGATGGACGTGTCCTGTCAGAGTCTGTTACCAAGACGATGACCTTTGCCACATTGGGGTGCTCTCGAAAGGGGGCATTGCTGATTGTGAAATTGATGGCTTCGTAGCCGTCACAAGTGGTCCCGGACGACCTACTGAGTTGGCGCCGGGCGAGGAAGAACTGATTGTAAGAGAAGAAGGTTTCTCCATTCACTCTGATGAACTTGGTTGCAGAGTTCCCTCCAAACGTCACGAGGCAGTACCGATTTCTGAGGTCTCCGTTTCCGATGCCAAGAGTGAGGAGATGGCCGTCTAGGACTGGTACGGCGATCTGGAGCCAGAGCTGAGAATTGGACATGGAGCTGACTGTTGAGATGACGAGGCACAGGTCCACTGCCTCAGTTCCACGCATTATCTGGCTGGAATGGAACAGAGACTCTCCTATCCTCAGTGGACTGGAATCAGGGACTTGGCACTGCCCAGCATCTGCAGCTAGAACACCAATTGAAAAAAAACCTGGACACATTGATTTTACTGGTGTAAAAAGTGTTGTATGGTAGTTAGTTGCACAAGATGGCAGCAAATCAACCCACTGAAATCTTATATCAGACACAAGATGATCGCTATATAAGACTCTTGTCAAAGGATGATACGGGACCAGAGTTATGCACTGCAACACAATGAGGCTCACAAGATCCCCTGTGCCTCAGTATGCATGTGTATGATAACACACAGCCCTTCACTACCATCCCATGCAGTCACTGCTCCATTGACATCCTGAATAGCCAGAGCTAAAGAGCGGAGCGAGATGAATGTCCCGTCCAAAGCCCCCAGTGTGCAAACAGTGTGATAGATGGCTCGCACAGAGCCACGAGTATATATAAAAGACAGCTGCACAGTTTATCGTATTTTCAGTACACACCACACCATTCCGGAGACAACAGCAGGTCAAGTATAATAGACACAGTTGGACAATTCAAAACCGAGTCTCAACTCTAGTAACACATAAGGTACCACTGATAATGTTTTGCGGTCACGTAAGGAGAATATTTTCAGCTGGGCAGTTTAGGGCGCCTCTTGCAGTAACATGATTAAAATATCGGCTGGGAATCTGGCTTATGCAGTCTGTATGTAATTGAAAAGGTGACGACTAGTGATCTCCCCATGTCTGCTCACTATATCCAGATAATTTGATTAATTAACACATGATGAATTTATTACCCGGACAGTAATGTAATTAGCAGAGTGAGACTAAAACCACAACTACTCTGAAACTGAGTAAATTGAAGCGAGCTGCCCACATAAGCCAACCAATGTAGTCAGAACACTACACTGGAGCTAGAGTGCGTATACAATGGCTGGTGTATAGCAATAATTATAGCAATAATTATGCAAAACCCCACCCTGACTAAATGGTCAAGGTATGCAAAATATGGGCAGCTTTTCCCTCCATCTAGCACCTCGACCAACTCTTGAGCAACACAGTGTTATATAGAGCATGGCCTTTATGATTATAAAATACCATCATCGTATAGAGCCATAATTTTACGGGACTCGACCAAAATTAGACAGTGATGTGACTTGATCACTCATACCAGTCCAAGCTGCAGCCTCCTTTGCAGAGCAAACACTGGACTAGTGACTGCAGGCTTCCAGCCAAATTGTCTTATGCAAGTGCTCGCATGAACTTCATTACATATGAATGCCTTGTTACATGCTCGCCTTGGCATGCAATAAACGGTCATTGAAATGTTCGGTCGCGAGATCACCCGCTTGAATTGTTGCTACTGTGCAATTAAAAGTTGCTAGTAGTTTTATACAGAGGACAAAAGAGAGGGACATACATTACATTGGTTACCTCGTCTATCGTTTGTATGGTGACAGTCACCTGTGGACGAGAGATAGTGCAAAGAACCAAGTGAATACAGCAAAGCACCACGAGGTATTGTTGTACGTCACATGCCATCTGTTCACACTACAGCAGATCGCACTGCCACGAGACAGCAATCCAATGAATTAAAATTATATCAATTGCATTCTAACAATAAACAAGAAGTAGTGTTGTGATGTTGGCCAAGGTTATTGTACAGACTATTGATGTAGCTAAGCTCACCTCCACTGCATGGTAAGGTATCAGAGAACATTAAGACTGATCTTGCAGAGCACAGCAGGAGTACAGCTACCCAGCAGCCCACTTCCAACCTCCACCCTCTTTGCACTCCACACACCAACGCTCCCATTCTTGCAGTCCACAGCTACCACTGCAACCCCAGTCTGGCAGTGCTCCGTCACTGTGGCTCAGCCGGTTAATGAATTTATGTCTTGCTGCAGTTCGGAGCTTTCTCAATTCACAACTCTTTCTTCTCCACACAAGACAACCAGTTCTTGCAGTCAATCTCTTAAAACACTACACTGACCCGACTGAGAAATCCTGACTAATCTTCTTGGATGCTATGCACCCCGTAGATTGTGTTGAACAAGTGAGCTAAGCACACACCATGCAACTGAAGTGAAGGTCTCCAGAACAGAGCAAGAATCATGCACCACTAGCCAACCCCAGCAGCAAGGAGAGGCATTTATATCCTCGACTGGCCACCCCCTCCACCTACTTCCTGGAGCATTCCCGAGTAAGGAAACTGTAAACAGAATCTTTCATTCAGGAGCAAGGAGCCCGGTCCAAGGGGGACAATTGCCGCTTTCAACTCTGTACTGCTGAATGAGTGCACCACGCTACCATTCAACTGCAATTGGCCGTGCCATTCTTAGCTCAGCTACAGCCACAAGTGGCCTCCATTCACAGGGCAAGTCGATAGGGCACAGTGTGAGAGCCTTATTCAGCAAGGCAACTGCTTTAAGTGAGCAATTAGTTACCTGACGGGTAGCTAGTGAGTTACAAACGAAAATTAAGTTGACCTGCTCCTCTCTAGCTCCCGTTCACCGACCAGAATTACATTAACTAATAGTAATTATGGTACAGATCTGTCACTTCGTTATGGACGTATACGGTAAAAGAAACTTGTGCAGAGGAACAATTATGGCGGTATAAGGCAAATGAACTGTGGCCACCGTTCACAACTGTAGGAGACAAGCAGTTCAAAGCTGGAAACTATTTCAGAGCTACAAATTGCTCATCAGTTGGGAACTAACAACTTGATGTGGCCAGCTCCAGCTATATGCAGCTGTCTCAGCAATATACACACAACAGCACCATAGGAATCCTAACTACAGTGGATCCTTCGAAAAAGGGACACTATGGGGCAATGATTTTGTCTTTTGTAGAGAGGTCGTCCCTATCTCGGAGGGTCCCTTATCATCCACTGTATACCATATCTGTTTTTAGCTGATCGCAAGGTCCACAAAGAAGGAATAATACCCCACCATTGAGGAAGAATTTAGGGCTAGACCCATCGTCCCCCCCACATACCCCTAGACCCCCACCCTACCATACCAAGCCCATTACGGTGGGCCAAACGCTGGGAAATCTGCAGTCAAAAAGACGGGCGACTACCCCTGATCATGGTAATAACCAGTGGAGAGCAGCATATTATGCACAGTGCCACCAAGAACTGAGTTGACGCTAATAATGTTGTAAGATAAATGGAATAAGGTGTTGCAATGGAGGTAGGTAGCTGGCCAGAGGTGGGAATCATATGACAGAAGGACAGTAGGCCCTGAATTAGCAGAGACAGTGTGTTGAAAATACTAATAGCAACGCCCTGCATTCCACAGTCCCACTAGCAGGTGGACGACAAGAGGAGACGTAATATGTGACGCTCTGATGCAAATCATTCAGTTTTCTAGCCGAACGCACCCAAATACCTCCAACTATATACAATTATAGAAGACGCATACTAGGATACTGGTAAAAATTATTGAGCCACAACTAAATTTGAACCTCGATAAGTCAAAAAACACACCAGATGTTTCAATAAAACATGACAGGTTTACAGTTCCGTGTCAAATAGAATGGCATACATACATAACGATGATACTACATACACACAAGTAAATGTTCCACTGGCTAATCTCATTGAGCTGCGTATCTGTTGGGATATTCTATGGAGCCGCTGTGGGGCAAGTGGATGGAAGAAAACTGTTCTTCGCCCTCTCCTCCCTCTTCCCTCACGTCCAGCTCTGGGTAGTAGGTGGGGAAAGGGGGCGGAGTCAAGTGGGGCTTTCTCCTGGCGTCTGTCACTCGAACGAAGGTGTTTTCGTGACCCGGCACGGCCCCTCGCACGTAGAGGACATTGAACTGTTGATTAATTCGCACCACCTGAAAATGAACAACTAATCACCACCACTGATGGCGTGCCTAAGTGAATTACAGAAAATAGCCTGACTTGGCTCGGCCAGAAATGAGACCTGAAACGAGTGCGTCAGTCAATGCGGAAACTGGGGTGGGCAAACGCCACAAAGCTGGGTGCGTCTCTCAGTCGTTAATCACCACGCCAGAAACGTGACCATAAGTAGCTCCCAGCGACCGCATTCCTCAACATGGAACGGACGAGCGTGCCAATAAGCCAGCCACACAGGGGAGCTGCTAATACAGTGAAATAAGAACTATTTCCAGACTGACCGCAGTCCAAGTTATGATTATGCTCTGAACAATTCCAAATCTAGTTATGAAAATGAATCGGGCACTTGTACGATTGTGCTCCAAGCCATTCATCAAATTAAGGCATATACACACGTGCATGACTAATAATGTTATATAGCCAAAATTGTGACTGTAATTTTACTCCTACCTGAAGACTTGGTGTGGTGACTCGTTTTCCTCCCATTCGTCCAGGCATTCTCTTCCCTGGCCAAATTCTGCCCGGATCCTACCCCAGTGGGAAGAGAGTTAAACTAGCGGAGAAGACCGCACCCACCTACCTGTCCCCCGCCGGTAGCACCCATCTTTCTGTGGGTCTTTGTCTGTCCATGTGAGGCCGGTTGACCTTTCATTCCATGTCTCTTCATTACACCTTGGAATCCTTTACCAATACTGTAAGATGTGGGAGATGAAGAGAGGGAGGGAAAGAGAGGGAGGGAAGAGATAAGGGAAGAGAGGGGCGGAATTAAGGTGTGAAGGGAAGAGGGAGGAAGGGAGTGGAGAGCAAGGAATGTGCAGTTTTGAGTTATCGATGCAGTCAGCAGTGACCTCTCACCTCTACATTCCTACAACTAGGGATGTGTGACATTACGAGGTGAGCTATACTCTTTCAATGCAGTACGCAGTCACTTGCCAAGCTTCAGACTAAAGACCCAGTCGTAACCACGAGGGCTACAGTTCCAGGAACGGCAAAGTTCTGCACGATAATTGTTTATTTACAGCGCCGACAAAGAAGATGAACAAATATGGAGTGTATGGCTATTGTCACCACTCAACTCAAGAGCCTAAGTCATTGTAGTGAAGCTGTTCTCCATTGCATCATGAATGAAGGCAAAAAGCGAGTGAATAGCAACTGATGCTATTTGAAGAGAAAATGGGGTAGATGCCTTATATAACACACATACCTCTTGGCACACACATCCACATACTGTCCACAGACAAAATGGGAGGCAAAGATGGACGTTCCGACAGGTAGTAACGCATCTTCAGTGACTCTGAACTCCCAGAGTTTCCGTTTCGGGACGACATCAGCTCTTTGGTACTGACCAAGTACCGGCTTTAGCAACTGCCAAGTTGGGGGAAACATTTGACAGATATGGAGAAGAGAGGGAGGGAGGGCGGGGTGTTAGGGATGTAAGCCAATTACGTAGGGGCCCGCCCAATTTTAGTGACAAATTACGTACATTCTTGGGTTTGGGATGGTTGATTCCACCCACTTGTAGGCCCCAATACCCCTCCTTATCCTTTGTCCTGACGTTCACCACTTGATTGTCAAGAACCTGGGGCTCATGAATATTCATGAGTACAGACTCGTAGGCGGCAACCTGAAGAACGGTGATTGGAACAGGGTGCCCCTGGTCGTTCCACATTTGCGTCATGCCCAGTTTGACCGCTATGGCTCCTGTTCTGCGAGACTCGGGCGTCCACTGCGCCCGCTCATTCTGCTCGACGTCCGCAGCAGCTGGTTCTGTATCTTGGCTAGTGGGCGGAGAGGCGAAACCGCGCACTAGTACACCACAGCGAGCATACTGAGGTTGTCTAGTCCAGACTGGATCGGTAGAGCGCGTGCAAAACGACAGTCTGAAGCGAAGAAGCCCGCGAGTCAACGCCATGCTTTTTACGGGTGCAAAGTGTAGGAGGCCGAGCCACGTGGGTCACGTGACGCGGCTCTCTAAATGGAATCGCAGGCCAAACCCGAGAATTTCTCGAGGCTACAGCAAGAGCACGCGAGGGTAAGTAAGCGAGGCGCCCAACTAGAAAAATTATGTCTCTATTTTCATGTTCCTTGAAGGCTCTAAAGGGCTCTCAAGAGACTATCAAAAAGTGGTGAGTTGGCTTCTGCGCATGCGCATTATAACCGACTCTGCATACTATACACAGGGAGCAGTTCAAGTACGACTATGAGGTTCTGCAGGCGAGACTGCATACTCTTCCAGACAAACTTACCCATGACATCATGGTGAGGTAATCTGTAATGATCAGTGGCGATGGAGTGTGAGGTGTGTCAATTGTGTGTAGGTGCCGTTTGGACAATTTGGGTTCATGCGGGGTCATCTCTACCACACTAATGAGGTAATGGTGTTGCTAGGAGACAATTGGTTTGCCCAGCGGACGGCCAAGCAAGCAGTCGAAATTGCCGAACACCGCAAAAAGTGTAAATTGTGCTCCCAACTATCTCTCTCCATTCTGTCTTCAGTAGCTCAACTGCGTTGCAGATGTTTGTGAAATGTTAGAGAAAGAGAAGAAGGTGATGGAGGATCTGCAGGCCAGGAGTAGCTTCGTCAGCGAGCTCTCGGCTGCTGCCTTGCAGGTATCAGTTGCATGCGTGGGACAGTTTTAGCCCGTGTCCTGAACTGAGTGGTGTGTGTGATGTGGAAAATGTCTGCAGGTGGCCCGAGACGGATTCGAGATCAGAGAAGAATATGATGCAGAGGAAGAGGCCCGCAGGAAAGAAAGTAAGCTGAAGCCAGTTTTGCACTGCTCGTTAGCACCATCATCAACACTTTAGGTTTTGCCACACTTTTTTTTCTACTTGATGTGTTCACTCAAGTTTTCTGTGTGATTACACAGGCAAAAGGAGGGAGAGAGAGAGGAGAGGTATTGTTGTTCCTCCGCCTCGTCCCGCATTTCCCAGGCAAACTGGAGTCTTGTCGAAGGGGCAGGGAGAGGAGAGAAAGAGGGAGGAGGGAGAGGAGAGAGAGATGAAGGAGGGAGAGAATCAGAGAGAGATGGAACTGTGGGCAGCGCTGGAGAAGAAAGAGGCAGAGGAGGAAGAGAAACGGGAGGAGGGGGAGAAAGAGGAAGAGGAGGAGGGGGGGAAAGAGGAAGAGGAGAAGGAGTTGAAGGGAAGAGGTTCAGTTGAGAGGGGAAAGACACACCAAGCAGTGGCTACCATTACCTTCAGCCACACAGCAGGACCTGATACAGGGCCGTCTGTGAGGCAACACAAATCACACACACACATATACATCATGTCAATCAACCCTATCATAATTCAGGACGTCAGTACCAGTGGGGTGGAGGAACTAGTTTACTCCACTCCGGGGGATATTGCCAGGTGCCATGGGGGTGTTGCTCCACCTCGAGAGACTGGGGAGGGGGAGGAGGGTGGGGGGAAGAGGGGTGTGAGGTGGGACCCTAACTTGGTCAGACACCAACAGGAGAAGTCAGTAGCCACACCGGCCGATGTTGAGCCGTTGCAGGTGCCAATCTCTCAACTGGTGAGGGAGAAGGACTCGCTGCCACCTAATCAACAGGTCAGGCCTAATATAGACCTATTATAGAACTTGTGTGAATTAACAAGTGCAGAATATTTTTCACGCATAGTCTGCCCACGCATTCAGGGAAAATTTTGTGCTTTTTTTTTGGTATGATTTTGCTTTTTGATGTTTTTTTCAACTGCAGGTCAGTTCTCGGAAAGTTTCAAAGTTCAAATTATCGCGCAGCAGCAATTAGTATACTCGTCAACATGAAACTGAACATTTGCAGTGATGCACACAAATCAGCATTGGAATGATAATGATATTGATTGAATAGTATAATTATAGGGGAGGTGAATGTTGCACGGTGGAGACTGTATGTAGTAATTCAAGTGAAGGTGGAAAAGTCAGTATTGTAATGCAGTCAAAATGCTGCAAAACTTCAGAATTCATTATTGTAGCTCATTGTCAGTATCAACTAATAACACGGAGGAAAAATCGCTCTTCAATCTCCCGCATCGTCATCGTCCAGTCTGGGGTTACCATCGAAAACGTCATCATTTCCCGTTTCTATGGACGTCTGCGAGATGTCGGAATCGGAAAGACGGAAGTTACGCAACTGCGTCTCGAGCGTCTTGAAACTCATCCGCTGGTACTCGTAAAAGCTCCAGCATCCGCCCTTCACCAGGCTGAAGAGCTTGTCGGGACAACAATCGGGCCGCTCCAGGAGTTTCCCCCTCCGTACCATCTCCATCACGGACTCGTTCGTGTTACCCCAGTACGGCTGGAGCCCGAAACTAAACACCTCCCAGATCACCACGCCAAACGCCCACACGTCGGCCTTTGTGGAAAACTTTCCGTAGATGAGTGCCTCGGGGGCCATCCAGCGAATTGGGAGAGTGTTCTCGCTGTTAATGCGATAGTAGTCACTGGAGTAGAGGTTCTTCGACATGCCAAAGTCGGCGATTTTCACGACTGGCCCCCCAGTCCCCGAGCTCACCAGGCAGTTCCGAGCGGCGAGATCGCGATGGATGTACTTCTCTGACTCCAAGTAGGCCATTCCGGAGGCGATCTGCTTGCAAATGTCGAGAAGATCGGTCACTCCGAGTGCGGCCGTATCGTCAGAGAAGTTTGAGGAGGATGAGGAGTTCCGCGTGCGGGTCCTCTGGGGAGGGTTGTACCGTCGCTGGGCGCTGCTTCCATGCTCTCTGAGGTACTGGCAAAGGTCTCCCTGGTCCATGTACTCAAACACCATGTAGTACGGAAGTTCGTCCATACAAACGCCGTAGAACTCCACGACGTTCGGGTGGTTAAACTGGTGCAGTATCTTGGCCTCCCGGACAAACTCCTCGATGGACTTATCGCTCTCGTCCTTGCTCTTGATGGTTTTGACGGCAACTTTGACAGTCTTTCCAGTCTCCTCGTCGCTGTTGTTTCTCTTTATCCAGTCACATTCTCCCTGGAACACTGTCCCAAATTGACCCTGGCCGATCTCCTGCAGGTATCGGATCTTGCTTCTCAATCTTCCGGAACGATTGCGTAATTTCGAGTAACGCCGGACTGAGACCAGTTTCACGATCGTCATTTGTGTATCCGTTTGAGTATCCCACTATGTTCTGCCTCGGGCCCACACTTTCCCTCTTCTGTTGGCTGAGTTTCCACCATCGACCGAACAGGATGCCTGACAGGACGACCAGTGCTACTGTCACGAGCACGGTGGCCAGAATACTCCCGACTATAACACCGGATTGATCCCGCGTCAGCTGTGATGTGATAGCACTGGTCGTGGGAGCTAGAGTTTGAAAGAGAAAAAAGAGAGAGAGGGAGTATTGATGTATGTATAATATACTACGTGTATACAGTGGAACCTCAGTAAAAAGGAAATGCAGGGATCATGAAAATTGTCCTTTTTTTCAGAGGTGTCCTTCATTAAAACACAAATATACACCAACCGGAAGACAGACTCCTTCATAGTGTCCTTTTATAAGAGCTTCCACTATAGAGTCTACTTATGTAGGTAGGTCTGAGGAGGAATCCTGAGCTGCCCCACTACAAAACAACCCCACACAGACCAGAAGCCACTGAAAGAACAGCTGAAAACCCTTCCTCTCCCGACCACAGCTCACCTACAACTGAAGCACTAATTGATGGGGTACTAGCTTATTAGGCCACAAACCCATACTCAACCAAAACCCAAAATAACAGGCTCCACCACTGAAATGGCCTGAGCAAGGTGGGAGGAAGAGAGAGAGGGAGAGAGAGAGAGCAGGGTGGGGGCCACAGTTACCTGAACAGAGTGTCACATCGCAGTATTCCCAGTCACCAGAAGTCGAAGTGAAACACCATGGCATCCTCCCGAGCTGGCCAGGATTGCGACAGAATGACCCGTTCAACTCCAAATAGGTTGCCACAAGTCCTCTAGCGGCCGGTGCGGTTCTCCAGGGAAGACAACTCTTGCCGTTCTGGGTAATGTTCATATCTCCCGTGTAAGTCTGGCCCAGGGTCGACACGTTGTAGCAGTCTGCTGGTAGAGAATGGGCAAAGAGAGAGGAAAGATGGAAGAGAGAGAAGGGGAGAGGAGGAAAAGAAGGGAGTGGCTGGTCTAGACAATCAGAGGAACAAGCCACAAGCCACAGGCTGTAGTGACCCATTATCTGACAGATGCAACTCCAAACAGGACACACTAGGAATGCCACATGAAGTGATTTCATCTCTTATCTCATCTTAGTCAGCACCCCACATTATGTAATCAACCAGGCCCAGTCAAGTCAGTGTCAACTTCACACACTCACACTTTGCACAAATCTAGACCATGTGATGCCAACAGTTTGGTTTGGGTAGTTTATATGAAAATCCTGAACATAAATCCTAGAAGGTTCGTAATTGAAATAATAAGCGTATCTCCTCCCCTTCCCCCTCTCCCCTCTCCCCTCTCCCTTACCCTCATTGAGGGTTCCTTTACTATCAGGGAGGACCGGGGTGGGGAGACAGCTGGGGTGTGAAACAGGAAGAAGGGAGCTCCGATTCTTGTGGCAGACCGAGAAGTCGATGTAGGAGATGGAGCGAAGAGCCTTCTGGAGATCCTGGGAGCAGACTAGGAGCATGTCCAGTAGATGGCACTGTTTCTCACACACCTCCAGCTTGTCTGTTAGAGGAGGGAGGGAGAGTTTCAACACGGGGATCAGAAACACACTCACTCCCATTCTCGCAGGTAGGCAGGGCTCCACTGCAGAGCAGCTGGCGTGCAAGCATCTCGCAGCCCGGCGTCAGTTCCTCCTGGACAGCGTGGAGCGTGCCTCGCAGCTCCAGCTCCATATCGGCCACAGAGTCCTTCAGTTGGCGCCGCAGGAGGACCGACGTGGAGTTGGAGTAGCCAACCGGCTGGCAGAACTCCCCAGCATACGGGACACATTGCTCTGTTGGAGCACAGGTCAACAGCAGGAGACATTATAACTCAAGGAACAACGTACAAGGACACTTGATTAGTGACATTGGAGTTAGTATAAGTGTACAGAGCGGCTACACAGCAGGTGGAACACATTAAAACACTCAGAGTAGAGGAGGAAGAAGGAGAGGTCTTACCACAGACGGGAACGTCGCAGTACCCCCATCTCTGCCCGGTATTTGGGTCAGACACAAAACACCAGGGGTGCTCCCCCAGCCCCCCGGGGTTCCGGCAGTAGCGTCCGGCCCCCTCCAACTCCCCCACCATCATCTTGGTGAAGTGGTGGCGGTGTGGCGCCTGTCTGCTCCACGACTGGCATCCGATGCCACCGGAGGTGTACTTCACTCGACCTCTGTACTCGCGACCGTTCCCCAGAGTACACTCGAGAGCTGCTACTTCGTCGGAGACTGTGTCCGTCTTCCGGCCCACCTGAGTCAGGAGAGAGAGTCGCGGTGAACAGAGAGAAAGAAAAACAGTCGCTGCTGAGACCTACAAACTTCCAGCACTAGTACACTATGTATACACGAGACAATAAAGAGGTGGAGAAATAGGGTTGAACAAGGAACTTATAGGAACGCCTCTCAGCAGGCATATCATCAGAGGATAAAGAAGAAAAAAGAAAAGGCTCTAGTATATACCTCTAAAAGGATGACGAGGATCGATATAGATGCAGCCAGGCAGATCCCCCGGACCACCAGTGTCCAGTTCAGGGTCACATTTGGTGGCGAAAACGTCGGCAAACTCTCGACCGTGTCTCTCTATCTCGTCTCCGCAGCGGGTCCTCAGTTCGGCACACGTCTTTGGACACATTGGCAGCGGAGAGAACTGGTGCTCGTCCAGGATGAACGGGTTGCAATACGGCAGTGTGATGTGACAGAACGCAGACTTGACAAACTGACGACACGTCTCTGAAAACTCGCGCGAGAGTTGAGCAAATTGTGCGAGCTCCGCCATAAAGCTGTGCGAATTGTTCCCCAGAAAGACTCTCATGTCCCGATGAAGGAACTCGGAGCAATCAGCCCCTGCATAGCTGATACAGTTCCTGCACAGCAGCAAGAGAAAGAGAGAAGAGAGAGCAGTGTAAATGAACTCCTTGTGAGGTGAAAGTTTGGCGGTGGTTAAGATGTCTTAGCCACACTGGGTAGTACTATCTAGTATATACACCCGCCAGGAAGCAGGCACCCTATGCAAACTGGTAAAGCCTAATCCCTCCCCAGTTCCCACCAGATCATAATCACAGTATACCCTATGTAGTGGTTATAGGAAGCCAGTGTGGGGTCTGTGGATATATATACTCAGACTCACCTATCCTTCTCTGTTCACAGTAGATAGGGGAGCGGAAGAGGAGAGAAGGGAGAGGGAGAGAAGAGGTAAGAGAGGGTAAAAGGGCAGGGAGAAATGAAACAGGGCAAATAAACTTGTGTGAACCCAATTTTTAAAGAGGCTTACGCTTGGGGGTGACGATAAGATCAATGTCGATGCTTGTACACTCGTCTATAAAGTGTCCCACGTCATTGTGGAAGACACGATGGCAGGCTCTGGCCACGTACGTCCCGTTGTCCCCGAGCGATACGGAAGGAATTGTGAATGCCGTGAGCAAGTGATGGCTCCCTTTCTTCTGGTAGGTCACCTGGAATGGAGTAGGGATGCCAGTGGCACCGCACGAAATGGTGACCATTTCTCCGACTACGGCATGGTGCAGGGTAAGGCAGCTTTTATCCCACGACAGTCGAGCTGCGAATATACAGGGGGAGAGAGAGAGAGGTAGAATGGAGGGTAGGTCAGGGACTGAGGTGATGTTAAGAAGTGAGGGAGGACGAAAGAGAAGAGAAGCTACAAGAGAGAAAAAAACTCACCAAACAGTGCAAAGTGTTGAACAGGGAGAATAAACAGGAATATCGTAATGTATTTGAACCCCGGCGCTGGCCTCGACCTCAGAGGTCAACCTGGCTCGAACCAGGAACCGGTAAAACATGTCTGGGCCGACGCCATCGAAGGTGTAATTTGTCACCCGTCGTTCGTTGATGTCCAGGTAGCCGTCGTCTACGGATATGAGTTTTCTTTCGTTGTTTGTGGCATCGATGTACCGCCCGTAGCGGTTCATTTTAACTCGGAACCGGCGAGTACCGACGCAGTAAGGTCGGTTGTTTTTTTTGGTATAGTTCCAGCTCACTAGGACTCTATTGCCGACCAGTTTCGTAACGGAGATTTTTGTTATAAGTGGTGGTTCGCAGGCACCATCATCTGCCCCGTCTTGGTTTTTGGTTGATCTACACACACAACACACACAGAACACGACAAAAGAGAGAAAACCAGTGAAATAGCAAAAAACGTGAATAACAAGACAAAGTATCTCACCAACTAAGATTTCGGCTGATTGGTTGACGTTTCCCTGGCTGGCAGTACACAGGTACTTTTCCCTGAAGCATCGGCTCAGTGACTTTGTGGAGCAGATAAATCCGCCTGTGTTGTTGTACGTACAGGTAGGTGAGAGGAAGCTTCCATCCAGACGCTTTCCGCCCGTGGAGAAAGTGATGTCGGGACGACGATTGGTTCTCCCTCTCCCACAGCAGGTGAGGATACAGGGTGGCCAGACAGCTGGGTGTGTAAGCTCATAATCTTCGGGATGTATGTTCCCCTTCTCGTCACAGTGGTAAACTGAAATTGACAAAGACACGGAGACATACGCGGTATGCAGCTGGTAGACCAGTAGATCGAACTGCCGCCTAATTGCGGATCACTACAAGCACCACAGCATGATGCACTGTATATACGAACCACTAGCCGGCCAGCTAACCATGCGAAGAACAGTTCCGCTGCGACCTTCTCCTTTCCTTTTCATCATCATACTTACATTACCTGCAGCGCCGAACTACGAGCGACGTGTGGCTGCAGTATCTCCAGCACGAGCACGATTTACTACTACAAGCGGAGCGAGCCTCTACCTTTTCTCGTAGTATAGTAACATGCGCTGACAGCAAGCTCGTGTATATAGGAGCTACACATATCCAGCTAGGACAATCCCAAGCACACACAACGCATTTTGCAGTTTGTTCGTGGCACCGTACTTCGCGGCGTTGCATGCAGGGGCAGATATTGTGTGCACGATGTAAGCTTACCATCCAGTGCGCGGCAAGTGCACAGGGCAGCCAGCAGACAAAGCACGAACGAAGCAGCCTGAGCCATATTTCCACCAACAAAGTTGGAACCGTTCTCCTCCGCAAAGGGTGGTAGGTAGTTCTGACTAGCCGTTCACTCAATCCTCACTGCAACGCTCTGTCTGTGTCCAGACTGCAGTTTTTGTGTGATAAAAAAACGAGGGTAACTTGTCTGCGCATGCGCACTGGAGAAAGGTTTCGAGATAATAACACCGTGTGTAAATTGCAAAGGAAACCTATTTAGTTCTTTCCACAACTAGCTTTGGCTGGGAAAACATCTGGCTCAACTGCGTCTAAAAAACGAGGGAATACGAAGGTGAAAAATGCTCCGAACCAAAATGTCTGGGCACCTGTCTCTTTAGGAGTTGCAGTTGTTCAATGCCAAATGCGTATTCCTTGTAAATCCGTTGTGGATCCGCGAGAAATCGCTTCTCCCTGAAGGCGTCCCTCACTCTCCGCTCCGCATACTTCCTACACTAATGAGATGGTGCGCACCAAATGGAATAATTTACCCTTACACGCACCTGAAGTTGTAGTCGGAGAAGCACCGTCCATGTCTCAGAAGCTGGCGGTAGAGCCCCAGCACCTCCAGCCGACTCACAGCACTGCTCGCCATATCCCTGAACGACTGCAACTCGGGGACGACAGAGAAAAGAGCTCGCGTTGTTACGTCATGTGACGTCTGCTACAGAATTTTGCTGAATAGGCGTTTTTTTCCGACCGTGTTTTGTGAAGAACCGGAGGGTCTGGGGCATTCTTTGGCTCGTCCACCGTGGGAACAGACTGGAAACGGTAGGCCTGCGTTATTAAACTATTTTATCCTGGCTACATATCCACGCCACAGATGGCTGATGCCGCCCTGGCCGCTGCCGGCTTCCTCCTCGACAGAAAACTGGTGACGTCATTGTGGGTGTTGGGTGTTGGATGAAGTATGTGCTTTATTAAAATCAACAGGTGTTGGTGGAAAGGGGAGGAGTAACTGGTAGTCATGGTGATACATTGCAAGTGGTGGTGGTGACCATGGACGAGCTACCAATGAATGAACAAAACTTGACCAAGGTCAGAAAAATCGCTTATTCTGCGCTGCTTTTTAAAACCACTTTCCTATTCAGAACTTCAACCAACTTTTCAGAAAATGCACGAAGAAGGAACTTGTAAGTGGCTTATCCAACAAGTGTGAAAAGAGAGAGAATCGAGTGGTTATCGAACACACACACACACATGCACACGCGCGCACACACACACACACACACACACACCGTAGGACATTCAGAGGTACTGTATAGCCTCCTATGGCCGATCACTCCTCAAGAACCAGGGAGGCTGGGACGCTGATCTGTGGAGGAGACTGTGTGAAGTGGCAAGGGAAGTTTCCTTCAGCACCCTGCTCCATGATCTTGTGGAAGGTGAGAGAGAGGGCAAGTCAGAGAGAGATGAGAAAATACTTATTTTTCTCACCTGTACGCATCCTAGTTGCAGATTCCTCCTCCACGGCAAGGAGAGATCTCTGGGGTGACCTGTATAGCTCTGATGGAACCAAGGTCAGCTTCATGTTGGTGCAATCTTTGTGTGTAAATGTTGAGTTTTGCAGTGAGTTCTGTTTATAAAGCCTGTGATATGTGCCGTTATCTTCACTCCTTGCTCGCCAGCATTCGTTTTCTCTCTCTCTCTCTCTCTCTCTCTCCCTCTCTCTCCCAGAATTCTCTGGTGACGTTTGCCGAGAGACTGTCGGGCTGGAGTGGAGATGGGGTCCAGGTCCCTCCTGAGATGCTCTCCAGCCTCGTCTTCAGCTGCAGTACCAGCCAGCAAGGTCGGGGTGTCATCGTCCAATCGGTGAGCACCTTTCTCTGACTGCCATGTTTGATTGCAATCGCACTTTGTTAGTTTTCTTGAGTGGAAGTATATATATGAGTCACACTCAGGAAATTAAGATTTTTCTGTTTGTCACGCTTCAGCAACATAATAATGTGCACGACCCCGGTTTATTCATACATCAAGTGTGCCTGTAGTCACCTTTGACCCTCTCATGGCTTCTCTGGTGGCTGAGTCAACAGTTTGGTAACGAATGCGTAAACCATG